TACGCACGCACAAGTAGCCTATGTTGTCAGCTGAAACATATACAAGAAACCATCCCATCCCCAAGTAGCCAAAGATTGTTTTTAAATTAATAACCTTCATTTTTCTTTTACCTTTCAAAAACATTAATATTACGAGAACTAAGTCATCCAGTGCATTTTTCAAATACAACTTGACGACGTGGCTATCTTAATAATTTTAATACTTAAATCTGAAAAATCAGTACTGTTATAAAATCAGAAGATGTTAGTGGACTCCTTTCACAGCTATTGTCAGACATCATCTATACACAAATTTAAATACCCCCGCCGCAGCAAACCTGCAGACTAAGCGAATTTCCATTTGACTGATTGGATTTACACTGAAATGTCTACTTAAAAATATAACATTTATTCCCGATTTAAATAGAATTAGTTTAACAAGTACTTAGGTTTGCTGCATCAGGGAGGGTAAAACTGTTTTTTTGCAAAATGTTAATAGTTAGTAAGAAATAAAAACGTTTTCCAAATTTGATCTAAATATGTTCAAAAACAAGCAAACTACAACATTTTAATTATTCTCCAGATGAATAACATGGGAATTTTAAATTTAATTTTTTTTTTAATTTTCTTCGTAACCATTAGGCGCATAATAACGCTTCAATATACTAAATTATTTGTTTTTTTAAGCTCTACAAAATGGTTTGGAAAGAAATTGCTAAATTTTATGTTTTTTGGGTCAAAAATTAGAAAACCCTATTTTTACCCCCATAAAACCCCCTGTAAACCCCCGTTCCCATGGTCCAATCATGCTGGATCGCGAACTCGTTCGAATAAACGTAGGTTTACACGTTTGTACCAAATTTAATCAAAATCAGATCATTTTTTCTCGAGTTATCGTGATAACGGACACACACACACACACACATATATATATATATATATATATATATATATATATATATATGAGTTTGAACGGATGGTGTTTTTGGCCTCTAGGGACCTCAAAACGAAAAAAAATCGGTCCCGCGTCCAGGTCTTACCATGAGTACTTCACTACGGTAATAGCTTATTCCCTATTATGGGAAATTCGCTAAAATGGCCTAAACTTTTACATCATTCTAGTGAGGGTATACAGAAACAGTAAAAAATAACTTATTATAGATATTTGCCTGTATATGTGCAGAATCCCTTTATAAATTAAAATAGGCTCAAAAATAAACACAAAAATGAATTTAAATTTAAAAAAAAAATACATGGTTCTTATGGGTTGCCATGTTGGTGACGAATATAAAGAAATATAAACAGAAAATATAAATATAAACGAAAACCGTTTATTTTTGTTCATATTTTGTTAACAATGATGTGAATAATGTCCTCTTTGAACCAGAAATATATGTTGTAAACAAAAAAAATACAGAAAATCAAAACAAAGTTCCAATCACATATTTTATTTACAGTGTGGGGTGAAAATAGAGAAGTTTGCACAGTACATATTTTTGGTCGAGTTTTCAACCACGGGGTGACCTCTAGTAAAATATGAAATCATGCATAATAAAGTGAAACGAACTTTAATAATTAACAAAAAAAAAACTTATTTAGACAAGTAAGCCTACGTTTTTTTCAGCCGAAGTCCTTAATTTTCTTAACAAAATATGTCAAACAGAAAATGTTTACGAAATTCACAGAACTTCTGGCCAGACAACATTGTCCGTAATTATTGGCCAGAAGTAACATACTGTCCTTTTGCAACAAACCTTCAGTCCCTATGTTAAATTTGTAGCTATATTTGTTAACAATATCGTCGTAGTTGGTGTGAGCTACCTACAGATTGCACTGATCTAAATTACTAAATTCTGTCAAATACACAAAACTTTTTCTAAGTCAAACCATAGACAAAAAGAATTAAATATAGACCGTCAGCTGTGCTGCGGTTACCATAGCTTCTGGCGCACACCGCTTGGAGCGCCATGTATTTACGGCGTACGCGCTACGTAAACTACAGCGGTGTGCGCCGGAACCTATGGTAACCATGGTAACCGCAGCACGGCTGACAGTCTATATTTAATTATTTTTGTCTATGGTCAAACTTAGGGAATAACTTATGGTGAGCTATAGCAACTGTTATGACCCATCAACCTGGCCAGCAACAAAAATAACGTATAAAATAGAATTTTAGACACTAACACATTCTGTGACTGGCTCACACAACTACATTCTTTTTTAATAAAAAATTGGCTACAGCTGGTCCATATAGATGGGAAGTCTACTTCCGTACTACACGCTCAATAGTGTTGTTAAGCATTTTCGTATGGATGTAAACAAAATTGAATCATGGCCACCTGTTTTTATGTAAACAGATGTAAACTTGAAAAAGTTCAGGTGATTGACAATAGAATCCAGCACAAACTTTGGAATTTTAAAAGCCTACAGGACGAAGAGCTTTCATGGAATATCATACGAACCTGCAAAAAAACACATCTAGAGGAAAAGAGCTTTAAATTTATACCCAATATGCCTGTAAAAATTAATATTTAGGGATCGATTTGCTGAATACAAAAATCCAACAAATTCTTTTATGTGTCGTCCTGTTAACAATCCTAGATATAGCATTTGTGATATGAAATAAAACAAATTAAGAATATTTTAAGTGATTGGGCACTTCTACAATTCACAAATAACGTATTTAGTGATATTTGTTTAAATGCCATTTTCTCTGTTAAAACACGTATCAAATTACTGTAGGCCCTATATAAATAACAATCACTTCGTCGAAAGGAAGTAGCAAGTCTTGTCGTTAACAAATGGATTGCCAAATGCAATTAATTGTGTCGTGTATGTTTCTGAGGTACTGGTACCGAGGTACCTACACATGGTAGGGTGAATACTGGATTGGATAGTGATGGTATAGTCTACCACAGAGAAAGGGAGTGTGGCGATGAAACCAGCAGTCGCACGATTGGTTCGCGTCCGCGCCATTGCCATGTCGTTTATTTATATTATTCATTAACGACACCGTCCTTCCCATATACGGCGATTATTATGTTTTTGTTCCTCTGTACGACTTTAGTTTGTTGTCTATATGAACGACACACAGCCATTTGGCAACGCCTCCTTCTCAAGCTGTTATACTAATTGCCTTCTCCGATCTTTGTTTCATACGTCCATACCACGTTTCTTATCGATTCGAAAAACTACACTGAGCTTTTAGGCACTGACGTTATGGTCTTTATTATGCAACAATTGGAACTAAATAATTGTTGATTCAGCAATGTTTTTTTGACCTTGTTTTAAAGTATAAGTACTCCGGTGTCTCTAAATATGTAACATGTCTGATGATTTCTTTGGTTGAATGGAATAGTCCATGTGTATTTGTAGAAGAGCGTACAAGGGAAGCTAACCCCTCCCCCTTTGGTGAGAAAATAACAATTGCGGGGTGTGTAATCAGTAACACTAACACTGTATCACTGGTGTACTTGTCAAAAACATCAAAAGTTATAATATGCAGTCGACACGAACTTTTTGAAACTACTTGCCATTTTATCTTAAACAGCACACCGTGCACCATATTATTATTATGGTAGTGCCCGCCTGTACCACTAGCTACTGCTGGGCGAATATTTCAAGGCCTCATACCCAGTAAATATGACTGTTCATTAATATATTGCGCGATGATATAAAGGTCCACAAAATACTTAGTTCAAAAAATTTGAGCAACCCACGGTCAAACACTTTTGGAAAATCAGTGAAATCATGTTCTTAACCAATGCCTTCCTGTCATCATTTGGATACTTTTAAATATATTTCTGCAGTGAGCAGTAGGGACTATTGTAGTTCATCGTACATTGTACTGCCCGTTGTTCTTTAATCTGTTGCTGTTCCTTGAACTTAGCTGTTGGTCCCAAAAATACGGTTTACGATTTGCACACTTTTATCACCCCCAGGCTCCAATAACGACTTCCTTTCATCAAAGTGTGTCGTGTTTATTAACAATTATACTTAACTAGCAGAGCACCCGTCCTTCGTACGGGGTTGGTATATAAGTCTAAAATGCTTATTGCAGTTATACTCAAACTTTGCGTTTGCAATGGGGAGGACACAGTTTGATAACATTTGCTTCTTTAAATTTACCGTAGGGCCTATACTAGTATTACACATCTACCATAGCCATAATGTTCTACCACTTCACCTAAACAATAGAGAAAAATGAAATATTAAAAACGTAAACATAACTGTAAACAGTCCTACTTTGGCAGTTCTCATTGTGTATCACAGTTTTTTGTTGCTGCTTATTAGCCGTTTTCATAAATGAAAAAAATAATAGTGCTGCACCCTGTTGGTAAATCTAATAACCTTTTTAATGATTTTGCATATCATAGAACCAACTATTTTAGTTGAAACAGCTGACTAAATTCTTTAGTTCCCTTTAAATATGAATACTCATAAGGTTAACATGGGGAACTACAGAACCACTGGGACAGAGCCCGAAAAATTTCAGCCCAAGCCGTCCAGAAGTTAATGCGTGTTTGAACTTTAAACAAACAAAAACACAAACTTTCACATTTATAATATTGGTAAGATTGTACAGACCGTAAATTCACATTATAAGAAGCAAAGTAGTGTTTCAAATGTAAACATAATATGGGCAGAGAACTGACAGATTGGCAGGGTATTGTACTACATTTAATTCTTTTTGTCTATGGTACTAGCCACACAAGCTTCAATTTATAAGCTTTTTTGAATACACTCAATATATTGCGCAATCTGTTTTTACCCTTCAATCTAGCCCATCTAGTCTCAGGGTTTTAAATTGCCGCTGCGCGCCGCGGTAGATTCGTCACCCTTATATCAAATAAAAACGGACCAATAACTTCCAAAAACCTCATCTCATCCCTTGACACGCCATTACTAGATAAGAATACAACTTATTTTACATTGGGTTTGGGATTTACCCGCTGTATGTGAAATCCAAGTAGTTCTGTTTCTGTTGGATTGCCTCAGGTTGTGTAAGCCCTGTGTGTCAGTAATGTTCCAGACACCCCTGGTGCCCGGATCCTTCTCCAGAGTGGCGCCCTCGTATGTCGCCCCCGTCAGTCCCAGCCCCGTCACATGCAAACTTGACCCCCTCCTGCCTCACTCGCCATCTCCCAACAACACTCAGGTTAGCCAGGATTGCATTTAGTTAGCCTTTAGGTTTTTAGTATTTTTCTTTGTGCTTAAGCAATAGTAGGTAACTAACATTATGCACTTATTTTTTAAGCTCAAATATACAGGGCTAATAAAAAGTCTGGAGACCCCTATTAACTTTTTAATGGGTTACACCAGGAAACTCCAAACTCTGCACATTTCTAAAAACAACTGTAGTATAAAAGTGCAATTTTTTGTTGACATCACAATTTCGTCCAAAAACCCAAAATGGGTTATTTTGGGAACTACTCAAATATTTAAAACGTAAAGCCCTATTAAGTGGCAACTCATTTTAAAGGCCATTAGTTAAAAAGAATATCGGTGAAAACTAGAGGTACTGTATCGATCTCAACTCATTACAGAATTGCAGCCATTTTTATTTTTCATCATCCTGAGAGACCCTATGTAAATATATAGTATAACAATATCTCCAGGAAAACTAAATACCCCCGCCGCAGCAAACCTGCAGACTAAGCGAATTTCCATTTGACTGATTGGATTTACACTGAAATGTCTACTTAAAAATATAACATTTATTCCCTATTTAAATAGAATTAGTTTAACAAGTACTTAGGTTTGCTGCATCAGGGAGGGTAAAACTGTTTTTTTTTTAATGTTAATAGTTAGTAAGAAATTAAAACATTTTCCAAATTTGATCAAAATATGTTCATAAACAAGTAAACTACAACAGTTTACTTATTCTCCATAAGAATAACATTGGAATTTTAAATTTACAATTTTTTGGAATTTTCTCCATAACCATTAGGCGTATAACAACGCTTCAATATACTAAATTATTTGTTTTTTTAAGCTCTACAAAATTATTTGGAATGAAATTGCTAAATTTTATGTTTTTTGGGTCAAAAATGGGAAAAACCTATTTTTATCCCATAAAACCCCCCGTAAACCCCCCATTCCCATGGTCCGATCATGCTGGATCGCGAACTCGTTCGAATAAACGTAGGTTTACACGTTTGTACCAAATTTCATTAAAATCGGATCATTTTTGCTCGAGTTATCGTGCTGACGGACACATAAATATATATATATAAATATATAAATATATTTATATATATATATATATATATATGAATTTGAACGGATGGTGTTTTTGGCCTCTAGGGACCTCAAAACGAAAAAAAAATCGGTCCCGCGTCCAGGTCTTACCATGAGTACTACGGTAATAGCTTATTCCCTATATGGGAAATTCGCTAACACAGTTTTACTGTAATGAGACACTGAAAACTACTTTTTGGTCGGTATGACAATTTTTCCTGGGCTGCCATTCTGTAATGAGTTGAGATACAGGTTACCTTAGTTTACATAGATTTACCATATTTACCAATAGATTTACCTTAGGTTACCTTAGCTTACCTCTAGTTTCTGGGTGTCCACATTCTGGAAAGTCATGGAAAAAAATTCTGGTCATTGAAAGTCATGGAAATAGGCAAAAGGTCGTGGAAAGTCATGGAAATTCCCTATGATGGATGATTTGAGGGAACTATTCAATGCTCTAGTTCGCTGTAACTCCGACTACTGTAGCATTTTTCAGGATTTTTCACAAATTTTCGACGATTCAATTTATTACAGTTGTATTATTTTATGATTTTTGAGTTTGTATTAGTTCATTGTTGTACCATTGTACTCCATTGTTGTCTGTTAATACATATTTCAGTAGTTTCTGCGAAATCTAGGCAGTTTTATTTGTGTGTGTATGTTATATTATAATTTGAGTAAGGTTCGTGAGTCATGGAAATCGATGGTAAATGGTCATGGATAGTCATGGAAAGTCATGGAAATTAATGACAAATTTTCTGTGGACACCCTGAGTTTTCACAGATATTCTTTTAAACTAATGGCCTTTAAAATTAGGTGTCACTTGATGGGGCTTTACTTTTAACATTTTTGAGTTTCCCCCAAAATAACCCATTTTGGGTTTTCAGACGAAATTGGGATACCAACAAAAAGGTATACTTTTATGCTATATAGAGGTGTGCAGAGTTTGGTTTACCTGTGTAACCCATTAAAAAGTTAATAAGTGGTCTCCAGACTTTTTATTAACCCTGTACAATAAAAAATACATACGGTAACATAAATTTTGAATATTTTATACACACTATACAGTATATTTATACATCTTCTATATATATAATATGCTAAGCCGATGTTTGTAAACAGAACTCCTCCCTCATTTTTAGACTGATTTTTTGGATTAAAGTGTCAGAAAAATTTTCCTGATCTGTAGTTTTGCAAAGTGGTTTTTTTTTTAATTTTCATTTTTTTTAACCCCTAAACTAACAGAAAAAACATATTTTTTCAAAAACTGCATGAATGATTTTTATTAACAGTGTGCTATAATTCTTTTAGCTCTCAACCAAACTTTACATACTGTACAGTTCCCATTGCTGTAAAAATTACTATTCAAAAGTTATTGCAACTTAAAAGACTTTCCCATGAAAAAATCTGATGAAAAAAACAGCTTAACCGATTTTCATTAAAATGTAGTATTTTCTGGTTCTTATGACTCTAAACAGAATTGTACAACCCCCATGTCCATCGCTGTAAAATATACAGTTCAAGAGTTATTGCAACTTTAGTCATTTTACCCATATTACAGGTACCATACTTTCTCCCACTGTTGCCCATGATATGGGGATGTTGGCAAGCCAATGAGAGAAAGTATGGGTCAGATTGCCTATACCATGTATTTATTCAAAGTATCCCCGCCTCAGAAAACCTGCAGACTAAGCTAATTTCCATTTAGCTGATTTGATTTTCACATTAGTCTTTTTAAATAACATTAAGATTAACGAGTACCTAAGTTTGCTTCTACATGGAGGCTCATAAGGTGTGCTTTTTAGTAAAATAGTGTATAGTTAGTTGATAGCTTAGTGTAAAAAATAAATTAATTTCCCAAGTTTGATCAAAATATATCCATAAACAAGCAAACTATAACAGTTTACTTATTCTCCTTAAGACTAACATGGAAATTTTAAATTTAAAATTTTTTTAATTTTCTCCGTAATCAATAACTCTATAATAAAACAAAACTTTAATGTATTAAATTATTTGTTTTTTTACGTTTCTTTTCCATGTATATAAAATTCAATGTATGTATGTATATTTGTTTGTTTGTCCTTTATGGACTCCGAAACCACACGACAGATTGTAATGAAACTTTCAGGCATTATTAAGCATTACTCAAGGATGGTTTGTGTGAAGTTTGGTGAATATCCGTCAAAAGGGCTCCGCCCCAGTGGCTCTGGAGTTTCCCATGTTAACCTTATGAGTACTCATATTTAAAATGGAATTAAAGCATCTTAACAGCTGGTTCAACTAAAACATTTGATTCTGTGATGTTCAGCAATAGAATTAAAAATTAATAGGTTTATCAACAGGATGCAGCACTACTATTTTTTAAATTTAAGACAACAGCTAATTTGCAACAAAAAGGTGAGTGAGCGTAGCGAGCGAACTTCAACCTGGAGGCGAGTTAGCGTAGCGAACGAGCTAACCTGATACCTAAAGGTGAGTGAGCGTAGCGAACGAGCTAACCTGATACCTAAAGGTGAGTGAGCGTAGCGAACGAACTTCAACCAGGACGTGAATGAGCCATGCAATCGAGCTCATCTTGAAAATGAACGCGCATTTGACATAAAACCACATTAGGACAGGACGACGTCTGTCGGGCCAGCTAGTTTAACATAAAAACGAAAAATTAAATCGGACCCTGGTCCAGGTTCCCAAAACCCAAGACCAGGTATGTCCAGGTAAGAGACATACGTTAATAGAGTATTTCCTTTATGGGAAATTCGCTAAGAAGAAAAATGAATGTAGTAAATACAACAGGTACGGTATGTTTGATTTTTACTTTTGTATGTAAAACGTCATGTAAAAGTTTTTGAAAATATCATCGCAAGCATTATTATAATGGAAAATATTTTATTAAAAGTTACTCAGTCTTACAAAATAAAGTAATAGTTAATTGAGTACCGGTACTTGTCACAGGTAATGGCTGGTGAGGTGGCCTCAAGTATAGGCAGTCCTGGCAGAGGACCCGCCACTAGTACTAGTCCAGGCCCCGGACCCCCGTCCCCACTACAACTAACCCCTGTACTGAGCCCAGCCCAAGTACAGCGGCTGGCCGACTCTGCTGCTAACCTTGTCAAGCGGTTGCCACAACTGGAGACCACAGCCAGAGCATCCACCAACCCCACCAAGAAGAAAGCCAACAAGGAACTTGAGGTTTATTTCACTTCTGACTTTGTTATTGATGGTGCTTTTATTGTTATCTTTTTATTGTTGTTATGATTATTGTTAATGATTATCCTATATCCGCTAATGCGTCTGTCTGTCTGTAGGTAATATATATTTCTAAATCCAGCAGGATTTTGACTAAATTTTAGAATTAGGGACTTAGGCCTAAATGGGATTGGCGACAGCCACTACCTCAAGAAAATCCCTATTTCCGCTACACAACTCATTTTGAAAAAGTAAAAAATTAAAATTGGCTTTATGGGTTGCCAAATATTTAACTATATTGGTTGAACAAAATAACAAGAAAAAAGTAAATGGAGGCTACTTTCTGTTAAAGGCAACATTAATTATAGAGTGAAAATTTAAAAACGTACGTTTTCAGGAAAAGCACTTTGCAAATTTTTGTCCCCTTTTTTCAAAACTTTTATTATTTTTTTTATTTCATTAACATTTGAAGTTTCATAAAATGTCCATGGTAACGCAATATCTTTGGTAGTTTTCTTTTTAAAGAGCATCTTTAGTAGAAAAACACAAAATCCTGTCACGACCATAACGGACATTTAAATGAATATTAAAAATAGTTAATATTATTTTTATAACTATGTTTTGCTATAAACTAATTTACTTTAATGACCATTATACAATAAAAAGGTCATTGAGCTTTTGGTATATTTGGTCTTTCAAGAAAAAAATAAAAAAAACTCAAAAAATATAAAAAAGCCAATAAAATCTTTTTAAGTTTGTATAACTCCGAAAAAACTTACCTGAGACCCGAAAAATCGTTATGTTTGTATAGAGGTGTGCTTCTTTTGTGTATAAAACATTGAAATATGACGATATTTTAATTTTTGAAATTTTTATGATAGAAATCATAAACGTGATGGTCAGGGACAAGCGGTACGGTCGTGAATTGTCTGGAATAATCTAAATCTTTCTAAAAAAAACCTTCAATTATACTGTTAGTTATAATAAACTATGTGTTTCAATTGAACTAAACTGTTCAATTTACAATTATATTAAAGTTATTGTCACGACCAAACATACTATAATCCATAAAGGTGGATTGGTCGTGAAAAAAACCGCGATGATCGTGAAACTTTAGTCGTGAAATTACGTGTTATTTGGCTCTGTTCTGGCGGTAGCCCTGCACCTCATGTTCGAGGATACAAAGTGGACTTCTAGGTTAATCTAGCAATTGAAATATCTTATAAACAAAAATTAACACCATGTCTACTTCATCGAATGACTACGTACGGTCATGGACACACCAAAATTACAAAAAACACAATCTTTCCTTTATTAATCTTGTAATTCCTCCTTTCAACTCAAAACGACCGGCACTACAATCCTGACGTACACCCCGAACTAGTCTCTAAAACCAACTGACTCCATCGACGCCAGGCTTGCCACTGTCGTGCTCCAAAGTTCAAAATTTTTCCCAAATGGTCGTGACGCCAAATCGAGGGACAGACTTATTTTGTCATAGTAGTCAGTCTGCAATGACAATAAAATTATAATATGCTCCTTTTTTGTAAGTTTAATAACCATTGATGACATAAAAATATGGCTTTATATATTTCGGCATGAATAATTAGTCTAAAAACAGCGTGAAAGTTGGAAAATGTACCCTAGGGACACGTCATGGTCGTGAATTTCGAGACTTTAAAAATACGAAAAAAATACCAAGAACCTATTTAAAACCAAATAAATGTGTGTAACATGTTGCCCCCGTCCCAAAAATTATTAAAACACATAATAATAAACTACAAATCCAGTATCTACGAAGTAAAAGGCCAGGGACATGAAAACGTACGTTTTTAAATTTTCACTCTATAATCTATGGTTTTTTTGATATATCGATATTTTTGTTTTTCTTTATTATCAATTTTCCTTCTGTTTTAATATCTTCATGTGTTTTAATTATAAATTAAATTGACAACTGATCTTTTGTTTAACCAAAAGTAATATATATATATATGGATTAAGATATGAAACATTTCTAAACTAACCTAACATAACTAACCAAACTTGCTGTACCATTTCAAAATTCCGTTTGATAACAGAAAAGGCATGTGGGGAATATCAAACGGAATTTTGAAATGTTACATCAAGTTTGGTTAGTAAGCCTAGGTTAGGTTAGTTTAGAACAGTTTCATTTCAGTATAATCCTATAATATTTAACACAAGCGCTAGTTTGTTTATTAAAAGGTATTATTTGGCCATGAGAAATCGATTGGAGTTGGTCACAAGGCCGGGAAAGATCCAGTTTCCACCCTTTAAAGTACCCATGTTATCGTTAATACCTTTTTGTAGCTGCAGTTATAATAAAACAGCTGATACAGGCAATTTTTATAGCAATCTATGTATTTATACAGGTGTACTAAAATGTTTTCTTTGTTTCATCTCAAATTTGTTCACCATGATTAACGTACATAATAAATATTTTATATTTAGCTAAATAACTTATCTAATAAATTTAATGTTTAGCTCAATCCGAGCAAAGCTCGGTCTCCTGGTAAAAATTTTAAATTGTTTGTTGATACTGAACAATATCCTATTTTTTATCATAGTTGTCAGCTGATATGTTTCAATTTGTTGATATCGATATGGAAATAAAAATCATCGATAATAATGAATGTTCCCTTTAACAGGAAAGTACCAAGTAAACAAAAGACTTGTAACACGTGTTTATAACAAGCCATCCACATTAGGCATATATACTGTAATAGCAAAATACAAAATACAATACAAAGGGGAAAACATCAGTAGTAACTATTGAGCAAATATTACACTTGAGATTACTCAAGATTTATAAATATTACTTAAGATTTTATAACCTTATAAAATCTGTTAAATGCTGTACCTAAGAAAATATGTTTTATCTATGACTGTACCTATTCGATCAGTGGTCATTTCCAAAAATTGCTTTTCTAATCTAAACCTAAGACTTTCTCTGTATTATTTGATCAGTTGTCATCATCCAAATTTTTTTCCTTTATACTGTGTTTAGGTTGTGGCTTAATTTAATTTGAACATATGTTATGATTCTTTGTTTTGTTTACATATTTACCTCGTTATTTTGTAACCATCATGGCAACCCATAAGGCCAATGTTAAAATTTAAAACTCTGAGTTACTTTTGAATTATAATAGGCGTTAGCAAAAATTGGAATTGGTTACGTATATACCATCCAAAAATTTGACAAAACAACCTTGGTAAGTTTGGCTAAAATGTGTTCAGTCGTTATTGAGATTAAGTGTTATAAAGATTGCATTGAAGTTGATCCCAAAGAGCTTGGCTTTGCACCGCTCAATTATAATTATTATATTACTGTCATATTTTAAACACGTTTTAATGTGTCTAAAATAATAATTACCAAACAATATTTATTCACAGTTTAAATATAAACAAATACAATTATAATTAAAATTTTGTCATTGTGAGCTAACATCCATAAATTATACAGCTAATGACCCATTGGTGTGGTTGCTACTGTTTGGCTAGCAATAAAGTATTACCGGTACTCAATTTTCAAGTCTGGTCAGAAAAATATTATATGTTAGTTGTTTTCTCGTGACTCATAATTTGAGAAACGCTGCCTTTGCCAACTAGAAATTAATATTATGAAGCAATTAAACTAAAACTAACATCCCATTATGTTTAAAAGAATCCAGAAAAGTACAAAATATTGTACACTTTTCCTTTTAGACGCACCTGCTTTTTTCTCTTTCTTTGGACACCAAATCCAATCCAATCAATTGGTTCTTTAGTATCCGATCCATAGGTTCAACGAATAAAATATCTCAGGTTTAACCAAAAAAGCCTTGCTGAATTAGGGCAAATTGAAAATTAAAACCGGTAATATGCTAACAACTTACCTAATCAAATAGATCATCTTAAAGTGCAACTTTTCTGGGCTGAGTTTGTGTTGGACGGTTGTGATAGTTACTAAAATAACAGTCTTAATCTAATAATAGTAATTAAATAGCACATTGTTTGTAGTAAGATACGAAATCAAATTGCTACGGCTGTTTTCAGAGTGTCCTTGCTATGGACGAAGACGATCCACAAAAACTAGAGCAGATCAGGAAGTTTGCCGCTATTTACGGACGCTTTGATTGCAAACGCAAACCGGAGAAACCTCTCACACTCCATGAGGTCAGTTGCTCATCATAGTAGGCCTACAGTATAGAGGTGTATATAACGGGGACTGGAGTTAAAAATATATCTAGTAAACATTAAGTAAAAATACCCCCGCTGCAGCAAACCTACCGACTTAGCGAATTTCCATTTGCCTGGATTGACTTTTAATTATCTATTAATCTATTAATTATTAAACTATTAATCTATTATAAATGTTAATAAATTAACATTTATGTTTAACGAGTACCTACCTAGGTTACCTGCTACAGGGAAACTAATAAAGTGTGTTTTTTATTAAATAAATATCAATAGCTTAGTATGAAATAAATGAAAACGCCAAGTTTGATCAAAATTTATCCATAAACAAGCCAACTACAATCTATATCTATCTATACTAATATATAAAAATGAGATGGTGTGTGTTTGTGTGTGTGTGTCTGTCTGTTACCTAATAACCTAAGAACCACTGAACCGATTGAAATAGAATTTTGTATGAAGGTAGCTTATATACCTGGTTAACATATAGGCCTATTCCTGTTATTATATTCCCCTTGGGCTACGCCCTATGGGCTTCCAAAGTTTTATTGTTTACATTATGGAAGAATGTAAATAGTAAAAAAAATATTAATTGAAGTTAGCTGTAAATACTATAATTTGACAGTTCAAACAGCAGAGGTAAAGAGGTACAGGTTCTGCTCCCAAGATTATAAATTTTATGATTATGAGAATAGTTTGATTAAAATATTTATAAAAATATACTTATTTTCATGGAAGCGGAAGGATCATTACAATGTATAAATTTTTTTGAATAATTTTGATATGGTTGCTTTTTGTTTACAAATTTGAACTGATAAACAAATTTTGGATGAGGGTTAGTAGGTTTTAAAAAAACTAAGAGATGTATGTACTGGTACAGTTTTACAAATTTAACTGACTCAATTTTTACACTTTTATTTGTGTTTTAATTCAATTTACAAACTAAATTTCAACTATACCTACTTTTATTCTGTCCAGAGGTAGCTACTACTGTACTTATATCATCTACTTCACATTCACTTTTTTTACATTATACAGAAATCTCCTTAGTAGTTGTGCTTTTACAACACTGCTTTAATTTGACTATGGAGAATATCACAAAACTAAGCTGCACGCAATTCACTTTTGTTTCTAAAATCAATTAAATATCTGTAACATAACTATGTTTCTTTACTCAATGTTTTAAATAATTATGTAAATTATTGCAAATGCATACACGTTTTGAACTATGGAACGATTATGTGGAACAAAAATAATAACTGTTATGTATTATGTTGTTGATTTATATTTAAATTAATGAAATTTGTGCCCTGATTAACATGAATAGTGGTTGGCTTTCTAACACAAGGTAATACAAGTTTTCCATTAGTTTATTTTTGCTTATTATTGTGATATACCGTACACATGTCCGTGCACTCGAGCCTAAAACGTCAGTTGAGGTTCGGGACATAGATGGTCTGTCGACAGAGAGTGAGGTGGTTGAGGCCCTAAAGGAAGCAGTCCCCGAGCTTGCCGGAACATCGGCTGTTCTTAGGGTGTGGCTCACAAAACCAAATAGAAACCAGCAGCGGATGGCGGTCGCCGAAATGGCAGACGTAAGGTGTTGGCACTCCAGCATTTGAGGGTCGGTTGGGTCAACTGCAGGCTCAGACAGAGGGTGGAAGTAACCAGGTGTTTTAGGTGTCTCGGTTTCGGTCATTCCTCCCGAAATTGCAAGGGGCCCGACCGAGGCAAGCACTGCCTCCGGTGCGGAGGGGTGGGTCACGCTCGAAGGGACTGCCAAGTTGAATCTTGCTTTCTTTGTAAGGAAAATGGGCTTGCGGACAAAAACACCAAACATATAGCTGGGTCTGGGCAGTGCAGCGCTTTTAAAACTGCGCTCCAGCAAGCAAAAGCCCACCCACGAAAATAAGAATACTCCAATGTAATCTTGGGCGATCCAGGACAGCTGACGCGCTTCTCAGTCAGCTTGCCCTCGAACACGGTGTCGACGCGCTGTTGGTCAGCGAGCAGTACCAGTACCGGAATAGGGTCCCACCCTTTTGGTTCCCCGATAGTCTTGGTACTGCTGCTTTCTGGTTGCGTAATACAGCTCAAGTGCAAGTGCGGGGTCATGGAAAGGGCCGTGGATTTGTTTGGGTTCGGTGCAAGGACGTCACCTACTACAGTGTCTACCTCACCCCTAACGAGGCTATCCATGACTTCCGCGAGAAGATAGACCGCTTGGAAGAGAGCGTGCACGACACCACAGGGCATGTAGTCGTGGCTGGTGATTTCAATGCTAGGGCCGTCGAGTGGGGACTAACCCTCACTAATTCCTGGGGGAAGTACATCCTGGACTTTGCTGCCAGGGCCGGACTCGTTGTAATCAACGAGGGCAACACGCCAACGTTCCGGCGACCCGGTATGAGGGGAACGATCCCAGACATAACCCTTGCATCTGAGTCTCTTCTGCCAAGGATCAAAGCCTGGAGAGTCTTGGAGGATTATACAGCCAGCGACCATCAATACATTATTTTCTATGTCTTAGATCGCCTCCCGAGACCAGTTGCTGCATCTCGGGAAGTGCCCGTTCGGTGGAATACCAAAAAACTGGACGTGGCTAAATTCACCGAGGCCATCCTGCGGGGAGTGCCAGTGGTGCCTGCCGCACCTGGCATGGCTCATGCAGAGGCTATAGTAACATCAATGATGGGGCTGATTGCCTCGGCTTGTGATGAGTCAATGCCCTGCAAGAGACTCCGTTGCGATAGGAGACCCGTAAACTGGTGGACTGCAGAGATCGCGGATTTGTGCCGAGCTGCTTTAAGAGCTAGACGACTCGCTACTAGGGCCAGGGCACCCTTGGATAGACGCCGTAAGCTGGAGGAAGTCTAAGGTGGAGCTTGGTGGCTGGAGCCGTATAAGGTGGCGAGGAAGTCTCTCCGCCGGGCCATCAACCGGAGCAAACACAATTGCTGGAAAACACTAAGGGATGATGTCGATTCCGACCCGTGGGGCCTGGGTTACAAACTAGTAACCCAAAAACTCACCACTCGCTCTCCACCTTCCGTCATGGAGGGGGCCGCTATGGAGAGGGTTGTCAAATCCCTTTTTACGGATCATATTCTGCGCCCACTGCGTGAGTTTGAGATGATGGACGATGTCCCACTCTTCACTCATGAGGAGCTGAAGACTGCCGTTTTATCCCTAAAAAACAACAAGGCTCCTGGACCTGATGGGGTACCTGGCGAGGCTCTTAAGAAGGTTTTTTCAATCAATCCCCTGATTCTTCTGAGCATGTACAACGCCTGCCTGGCAGAGGGGGTATTTCCGTTGTGCTGGAAAAAAGCTAGGCTCGTGCTCGTAGGGAAGGGGAAAGGAGACCCAGAATTGCCGTCCTCTTACAGACCCCTTTGCATGTTGGATACGGCTGGGAAAGTCCTAGAGAAGTTGATCCGTTCCCGACTGAATTCAGCCGTGGTTGCTGCGGGGGACCTGAGCCCTCGCCAATACGGCTTCAGGAAGGGGCCATCAACGGTCTACGCTATTGAGGAGGTGAAGCAAGCCGTGATGAGAGCTGAGGATTTTAATCACTACTCTCGTAGGGTTGTGCTGCTCGTTAGACTCGATGTGCGAAACGCATTTAATTCTGCTAGATGGTGCGATATGCTGGACGCTCTGGAGAACAACTTCCACGTCCAGGCATACCTCATGCGCATTATAGAGGATTACCTCCGGTTCCGCCTCGTCATGTATGATACTACAGAAGGCCCACGGACGATGAGTGTCACTTCTGGTGCTGCCCAAGGTTCCATACTCGGCCCGGACCTCTGGAACGTTGCCTACGACAGCCTCCTTAGGTCTGAAATGCCTGAAGAAACCGTTTTAGTTGGGTACGCAGATGACATTGCAGCGTTAATAGCTGCTCGTAGTGTTGAGCTGGCCCAGCTAAAATTAAACCGAGTCATGCGAACTATAAACGCATGGATGGCAGATCACGGTCTCTCACTCGCGCTGAACAAAACTGAGATCGTGATTCTGACCAAAAAGCGGATTGACACCATTGTGCCGTTGAGGGTGGGGGACGTCGAAGTCCAGTCCGTTCGTGCTGCCAAGTATCTTGGTGACATGGTGGACTCTAAGCTTAGCTGGCGGGACCAGATATTCCGAACGGCGGACAAGGCTGCTAAGGTGATCTCTTCTCTTAGCCGGTTAATGGCCAATGTCGGAGGTCCTCGTTCCAGTCGCAGAAGGCTGTTGATGTCTACAGTTCAGTCTGTGCTCCTGTATGGTGCGGAGGTGTGGGCAGACGCGCTCAATAAGGAGGTGTATAGGATGCGGCTTGCCAGAGTGCAGCGTCAGGCAGCACTCAGGGTAGCATCCGCCTACCGAACAGTGTCTGAACCTGCCATCTTTGTGGTTGCTGGAGTAATCCCGTCAAACTTTTGGCGGCGGAGAGGAAAGCGATTTATCAGCGGCGTGGAGAGGACCATGCAAAAATGGAGGAGCGCAACCGCACCTACCAGCTCTGGCAGGAGAGCTGGGAACAGGAGTCGCGGGGACGTTGGACCAGGAGACTGATTCAGCAAGTCCAGCCATGGGTTGACCGACGGTATGGTGAGGTGGACTATTACCTTACCCAGTTTCTGACAGGACACGGGTTTTTTCGGTCGTACCTGTTCAGGATGGGCAAAGCCGTGTCACCCGATTGCATCTACTGCCCAGGCACTCTTGACGACGCGGAGCACACCTTCTTCCGCTGCCAGCGTTGGGAAGGTTCCCGCCTGGAGGCCGAACAACATGTAGGGCAGTTGTTGGTGGACACTGTCATTCCGATGATGACGGAGGGTGAGGACAATTGGACCTGTATGTCACATTTCGTCCAGGATATTCTCCGCACAAAGAAGCTAGAGCTTGATCGAGATGCAGTCTAGGTCATAAAGAAATTGAATGCCAGAAAAGGCGCGAGCCCTGAGGGCTTAGGTCACACGTTGACCTGACCTGAAGTAATGTGACAAACAATCCCAGGTCTGTGTCCAACAGAGTAGAGGGGGTTTTTTAGTGAGTAGTCTGACAAGCTCAGGAGTCTCACACTACAGGCTGGCTACCTGTGTGCGTAAAAGCATTTTTACCTCCTCTCCCTTAAAAAAAAAAAAACCGTACACACACTGATCTGCAGGTAAAGATTGAACTTTGAAAAAAGCTCAGTAGCTATGGTAAAACATATCATTATTTCCATAAATGCATCAGCGTCTCATATAATTTTTGTACTAGGTAGCCTTATAAGTTAGCCTAGCATTAAACAAAGATATTTATCAAACTACGAGTTTTAGTTGAGTTATGTTCCTGAAACCAAAGGGGAATGTTTAACTATTTCCTATAACGGAATTTAATATAAATTTTTTTCGCTTCAGTGTCCTCTCCGTTGCGAAGCACGGGTACAAGAGCTAGTATATTATAATATTCTCCATAAGAATAACATGGGAATTTTAAATTAACAATTTTTTAAATTTTCTTCGTAACCAATTATTGTACAAAAACACTTTGATATACTAAATTATTTGTTTTTTAAGCTCTTTAAAAAGATCTGGAGAAAAATTGATAAATTGTGTGTTTTAAGGGTAAAAAATGAGAAAAACCCATTTTTACCCCATAAAACCCCCCGTTAAACCCCGTTTCCATGGTCCGATCATGCTGGTTCGCGAACTCATTCAAGTTTATCCCGCCTTACACCTTCAAATCAAATTTTATAAAAATCGGACAAAAATTACTCAAGTTATCGTGCGGATGGACACACACACACATATACCGGGTGTCCAAAACCACCCGTACACCCCTTTCAAAACGATGGAAACCATTTCTTATAAACAAAAAATAATAGAGAACTAGCTATATTGGGCACGGTCTACTAAATGGTGATAATTTCAAATCCTAAATCACACCGGAAGTGGCTTTTTCAGACCGGAAGTTGATTTTTTAAAATATAAACTACCAATTTTGATTACAGAATCGGATTCTACGTTGAAAAATACTTAACTTTTGTCTAAAACATTTTTTGAAGAACACTTTTTTTCTACCTCTAATTCCTTATTAAAATCATTAATTTTTGGTCATTCATCTGTCAAAGTTACTCGAAACAAAAATAGAGAAAAACAAATAACAAAGATTACATAAAGACATATGATGAATAGAATCAGCTGTTCATTGTAAACACCTTAGCAATTGAGTAACAGCTGGTCTACACATTGCTTAATTATATTTAATTTTAAAAATAAATAATTTCTTTTTACATTTAAGGGGTCAAATGTAAAAAAAAAAAAAAAAAAAAATAAACTTACCAATGTGTAGACCAGCTGTTACTTAATTGCTAAGGTGTTTAAAATAAACAGCTGATTCTATTCATCATATGTCTTTATGTAATCTTTGTTATTTGTTTTTCTCTATTATTGTTTCGAGTAATTTTGACAGATGAATGACCAAAAATTATTGACTTTAATGGGGGATTAGAGGTAGAAAACAAGTTTTTTTCAAAAAATGTTTTAGACAAAAGTTAAGTATTTTTCAACGTAGAATCCGATTCTGTAATAAAAATTGGTAGTTTACATTTAAAAAAGTCAACTTCCGGTCTGAAAAAGCCACTTCCGGTGTGATTTTGGATTTGAAATTATCACTATTTAGTAGACCGTGCCCAATTTAGCTAGTTCTGTATTATTTTTTGTTTGTAAGAAAAGGTTTCCATCGTTTTGAAAGGGGTGTACAGGTGGTTTTGGACACCCGGTATATACAGGGTGATTGATATAAGTGTGCCAGCCGTTTTATTCTAAAACTATAAGAGATATAAAAAAAGTTAAATGGTAAGTGCCTTGGATTTTTTATTTTTAAATTTTTAGTCAAGTCAAAAAAATTATTTTAGCCGCCATTTTTCCAATATGGCCGCCAACTTTGATTTTTCTTACGGAACACCCTGTATTTTATGATGTATTACGGTAGAAAATGTAATTTTAATACGATTTTATTCTTGGGATTTTTTTCATAAACCTAACCGTTTCAAAGATAATAATGTTTAAAGTTTTAAAAAATAGGCATAAGAAAGAGTTTCGATAAAGGCCTAAGCAAGCATGCCAGCTGTTTTATTCAAAAACTATTCAAAATTTCACAACTTTAACCATTATTATCTTTAAAACGGTTAGGTTTATGAAAAAAATCACAAGAATAAAATCGGCTTAAAATTACATTTTCTACTGGAATACATTATGAAATACAGGGTGTTCCATAAGAAAAATCAAAGTTGACGGCTATATTGGAAAAATGGCGGCTAAAAATATTTTTCCGACTTGACTACAATTTTTAAAATAAAAAATCCAATGCACTTACCATTTAACTTTTTTTGATATCTCTTATGGTTTTCGAATAAAACGGCTGGCACACTTATATCAATCACCCTGTATATATACAGGGTGTCCATAAAAAACGTTTCAGGACTTTGGGAAATGAATCCCCATACTAAAAGGAAGAAAAAAGTTTATGGGAAGGTATGTCCGAAAATGCATATTAACCCAGATATCCGCCATTTTGTTTTTTATACAAACATATTTTTATCTGTGAAGTTTTTTATCCGATGATTATGAAATTTGGTAAACATGTTAACATACACAAGACCTATAATAGAAAAAATTTTAAAGTTGTTCCGATTGTAAATTTCAAAATGGCGGCCGTTTGAATTTTTATAACTTAAATAACTCAAAAACGGCTAATTCTACGAAAAAATGTCAAGAATATTTTTTTTTAGCATTTTTAATTTCCTATCAAACGATACCAAGATCAAAAAGATCGGACAAAAGATAACTGAAATATAAGGTTTTTTGTGTAAAAATAAGGCAAAGTTAGTCGGGGAACCCTTATTTTTTGCCTTATTTTTACACAAAAAACCTTATATTTCAGTTATCTTTTGTCCGATCTTTTTGATCTTGGTATTGTTTAATAGAAAATTAAAAATGCAAAAAAAGTATTCTTGACTTTTTTTCATAGAATTAGCCGTTTTTGAGTTATTTAAGTTAGAAAAAATTAAACGGCCGCCATTTTGAAATTTACAATCGGATCAACTTTGTTATTTTTTCTATTATAGGTATTGTTTATGTTAACATGTTTACTAAATTTCATAATCATCGGATAAAAAACTTCACAGTTAAAAATATTTTTGTATAAAAACAAAATGGCGGATATCTGGGTTAATATGCATTTTCGGACATACCTTCCCATAAACCTTTTTCTTCCTTTTAGTATGGGGATTCATTTCCCAAAGTCCTGAAACGTTTTTTATGGACACCCTGTATATAGATCTATATATATATATATACATACATATATAAAAATTTGAACGAATCGTTTTTTTGGCCTCTGGGGACATCAAAATGAAAAAGTCAATCGGTCCCGGGCCTAGGTCTTACCATGAGACCTACGATAATAGCTACTTCCCTATAAGGAAATTCGCTAACAGGTAATATATCTTTTTATGGTGTGATCGATCAATATGTGTTAGGAAAACATTTGAGTACAGAAAATTTAATAACTCTAAAGCAATGGGAGGTGTGACTGACTAATGGTTGCTAGCTCTGTATGCCTAATTAATGTTTAACACATTTTTCTTAATATTTGAATTTATGTATACAATTACACCTGAAGGTTCAGTATTTTTCAAATTTGTTATTTCATGATTTATATTTAATATTTTAGGTTGGAATAACAACTACATTGAATATTATGTATTTAATATACATTGTATATTTTATAGTGTTGTGTATAAGTACTTTACTTTATAGTATAGCCTTGGATTAACTAATACTAAAATTATATCACACCATTACTATTCCTACTAGCTGTTATGAGGACTGAGGAGGGTACTACCTACTGCCTTTGCCTTCTTTATTACACCTTTATTCTGATGCATTTTGAAAAACCATTGTAAAGTTTTCTTGAAAAACAGATAATATTACCAATTTTATGTTTATTTACATTTTCCATAGCCCTAATTTTTTTTCTGATTTCAATTTAGTATTTTCCATGAGCCACTCAGACACACAGGACCCTGCCAAGTAAACAAACAAAAATGCAAAGAAAACAAATGATATTAAAACTTTACATTTAGGAGAATAAACATTAAAAATAATAAAGTAATGACTTCCAAATATTTTTTAAAGGTTGTTACAATAGTTTAGCTCATGGAAGTAAGGAGTGAGAGTATGTATTGTTGCAGGTGTCTGTAAATGAAGCAGCTGCCCAGATCTGCAGACTTGTCCCTGCCTTGCTCATGAGAAGAGACGAGCTATTCCCTCTGGCCAGACAAGTTGTCAGGGACTCTGGTTACCACTACTCTAAGGGACATTCCAAGTGAGGACAGCCACATGAGTGATAACACAAGTTTTATTACTCTTTATAAACCATTTTGTAAATAATTGAATTCAAAATTCCCATGTTAGTTTTATGGATAATAAGTAAACTGTATAGTTAACTTGTTTATGGAAATATTTGGATCAAACTTGCCAATTTTATTTACTATACTACTAAGCTAATAACATTTTACTAAAAAACAAACTTTATTACCCTTTCTATAGCAGCAAACTTAAGTATGCCTGCTCATTAAAACTAATGTTATATTTAAATGGAAAATAAATTTGACAATTTTAAGAGAATATTCTAGTGAAAATTCTAGCAGGTTAATGAAAATTTGGTGAGCGGGGGGGTATTTATCTTTTATTATAAACATGTTTGTAAGGCGTTTTAGTGAGGTGAAAGACGGAGAGAAGACAGTTCTTAGGTCCTGAGCCAGAACATCCTCCTACAGGTGTTTGGCTGTAGCCCAGCGTTCCCATTTCCAACAAAGTCAGAGACTATTCACCAGGCCAAGCCTCTTTCCTGAAAAACTTTGGACTTCTCTTCCTGCTGTCAGCTTCAATCTTGATCTTTCCAGGCACATTCTGTGCCCACCCAACACATCCATATTGTAGATGATTTGTTCTTTTTTCCCATTCCATCCACTCTTTGATCCTTTTCACAGTAAATAGTATGTCTAGCTTTCTTAACATGGGAAGGCAGGTCACTTTTGGAGGAGGGTACTTTACCTTGCTCGCATTCTTAATTTCACTCTTCAAAAAAGCATTCAATATTCCTTTCTTTCATGAGAAATTCATAAGGAACCTACCTCCTTTTAACTTTTTGATGTTCAGATCCCACAGTGTACCTTTGATTCTTCTAAACATCCTCTTGACAACTTCAATCATGATTCCATCATATATCCTGGCACTTTTCTGTCCTTCAGCTGTGCAAAACGCACCTTCAGCTCATTTTCCGTGAAATCCTCTCCACCTGCTCCAGCACTTTTTTTTACTGATAGAAGATATATAATCAATGTTAAAACATATAAGGACAGATTGTGCTATCCTCCTAGAGCTAACAGATTTGTAAATTCGTTAAGCACAACTTTCAATTCTATTCAATCTAGCTGCATAAAAATTTAAACCCCTGACATTGTTCTTGACAAGCACTGTATAGATTTGTAATGTTTCAGAGCATACACTGTTAGTCACAGTTCGAGATCAATGTTGGGCTACAGTAATGGAGAAAACGGCAGCAAGAGACCGAGGCTAGATCCACCTCAGTCTCCCACTGACCTCACAGAGGAGTCAGCCAGACTCAGGCGACAGGTATGAACTTCTATAATGATATCAACTGTGATAGGTTAGATCTGCCTCAGTCTCCCACTGACCTCACTGAGGAGTCAGCCAGACTCAGGCGACAGGTATGAACTTCTATAATGATATCAACTGTGATAGGTTAGATCTGCCTCAGTCTCCCACTGACCTCACTGAGGAGTCAGCCAGACTCAGGCGACAGGTATGAACTTCTATAATGATATCAACTGTGATAGGTTAGATCTGCCTCAGTCTCCCACTGACCTCACTGAGGAGTCAGCCAGACTCAGGCGACAGGTATGAACTTCTATAATGATATCAACTGTGATAGGTTAGATCTGCCTCAGTCTCCCACTGACCTCACTGAGGAGTCAGCCAGACTCAGGCGACGGGTATGAACTTCTATAATGATATCAACTGTGATAGGTTAGATCTGCCTCAGTCTCCCACTGACCTCACTGAGGAGTCAGCCAGACTCAGGCGACAGGTATGAACTTCTATAATGATATCAACTGTGATAGGTTAGATCTGCCTCAGTCTCCCACTGACTTTACTGAGGAGTCAGACAGGCTCAGGCGACAGGTATGAACTTCTATAATGATATCAACTGTGATAGGTTAGATCTGCCTCAGTCTCCCACTGACCTCACTGAGGAGTTAGCCAGACTCAGGCGACAGGTATGAACTTCTATAATGATATCAACTGTGATAGGTTGGATCTGCCTCAGTCTCCCACTGATTTTACTGAGGAGTCAGACAGGCTCAGGCGACAGGTATGAACTTCTATAATGATATCAACTGTGATAGGTTAGATCTGCCTCAGTCTCCCACTGACTTTACTGAGGAGTCAGACAGGCTCAGGCGACAGGTATGAACTTCTATAATGATATCAACTGTGATAGGTTAGATCTGCCTCAGTCTCCCACTGACTTTACTGAGGAGTCAGACAGGCTCAGGCGACAGGTATGAACTTCTATAATGATATCAACTGTGATAGGTTAGATCTGCCTCAGTCTCCCACTGACTTTACTGGGGAGTCAGACAGGCTCAGGCGACAGGTATGAACTTCTATAATGATATCAACTGTGATAGGTTAGATCTGCCTCAGTCTCCCACTGACTTTACTGAGGAGTCAGACAGGCTCAGGCGACAGGTATGAACTTCTATAATGATATCAACTGTGATAGGTTAGATATGCCTCAGTCTCCCACTGACTTTACTGAGGAGTCAGACAGGCTCAGGCGACAGGTATGAACTTCTATAATGATATCAACTGTGATAGGTTAGATCTGCCTCAGTCTCCCACTGACTTTACTGAGGAGTCAGACAGGCTCAGGCGACAGGTATGAACTTCTATAATGATATCAACTGTGATAGGTTAGATCTGCCTCAGTCTCCCACTGACCTCACTGAGGAGTCAGCCAGACTCAGGCGACAGGTATGAACTTCTATAATGATATCAACTGTGATAGGTTAGATCTGCCTCAGTCTCCCACTGACCTCACTGAGGAGTCAGCCAGACTCAGGCGACAGGTATGAACTTCTATAATGATATCAACTGTGATAGGTTAGATCTGCCTCAGTCTCCCACTGACCTCACTGAGGAGTCAGCCAGACTCAGGCGACAGGTATGAACTTCTATAATGATATCAACTGTGATAGGTTAGATCTGTCTCAGTCTCCCACTGACTTTACTGAGGAGTCAGCCAGACTCAGGCGACAGGTATGAACTTCTATAATGATATCAACTGTGATAGGTTAGATCTGCCTCAGTCTCCCACTGACTTTACTGAGGAGTCAGACAGGCTCAGGCGACAGGTATGAACTTCTATAATGATATCAACTGTGATTGGTTGAATCTGCCTCAGTCTCCCACTGACTTTACTGAGGAGTCAGCCAGACTCAGGCGACAGGTATGAACTTCTATAATGATATCAACTGTGATAGGTTAGATCTGCCTCAGTCTCCCACTGACTTTACTGAGGAGTCAGCCAGACTCAGGCGACAGGTATGAACTTCTATAATGATATCAACTGTGATAGGTTAGATCTGCCTCAGTCTCCCACTGACCTCACTGAGGAGTCAGCCAGACTCAGGCGACAGGTATGAACTTTTATAATGATATCAACTGTGATAGGTTAGATCTGCCTCAGTCTCCCACTGACTTTACTGAGGAGTCAGACAGGCTCAGGCGACAGGTATGAACTTCTATAATGATATCAACTGTGATTGGTTGAATCTGCCTCAGTCTCCCACTGACTTTACTGAGGAGTCAGCCAGACTCAGGCGACAGGTATGAACTTCTATAATGATATCAACTGTGATAGGTTAGATCTGCCTCAGTCTCCCACTGACTTTACTGAGGAGTCAGCCAGACTCAGGCGACAGGTATGAACTTCTATAATGATATCAACTGTGATAGGTTAGATCTGCCTCAGTCTCCCACTGACCTCACTGAGGAGTCAGCCAGACTCAGGCGACAGGTATGAACTTTTATAATGATATCAACTGTGATAGGTTAGAACTGCCTCAGTCTCCCACTGACTTTACTGAGGAGTCAGACAGGCTCAGGCGACAGGTATGAACTTCTATAATGATATCAACTGTGATAGGTTGGATCTGCCTCAGTCTCCCACTGACTTTACTGAGGAGTCAGATAGGCTCAGGCGACAGGAGCTGCTGTGATGATAGTAGGTTAGGTAACCTTTTTAAGCTAAGAAGTGTAACAGTGGTACGCCTCTATGACCAGTTCATCAGAACAGGGTGACCTTGGATTTCACTTTGGTTTGGGTTAGTTGATCTACCACTGGATTCACTCTTTTAGATGAGGTTCTATTATGTAAAGGGATAGGTTTAAGATACAAGCGATTAAATAACAAGGTAATTTAGTTAAATTATTGTTTGTATTTAAAAACAAATTTTTGAATTTTATTGTTTAGGGGCCTTGTCAAGGAGCGAAATTCCTTGGGTATTTTTGTTTAAGTTTAGCTACCTCTAGAACGATTTGTTGGTTAACCAGATTATTCTCACATAAACTGATAAACTCAACTAAATTACAGTCAAAAGGTGCCAGACAACTACCGAATGTGCGTGAGTGTTAGTGTTTAGCCCCAGCGCCAGCGGTCTGCAGGGGCCTGACAAATGCTTTTGTGTGTAATTTCTTTAAAATTTCTATCCTACTTATCTCAATTACCTTACCTATCTAATTAATATTTCAAATGAGTACACAGTGAGGACTGACCTTTTTCTTTTATTTTCTATTCACAAATGAATTTTTAGAATTCTTATTTTTGTTTCTTTCTGTCTGACCTCCAGACAAGTGGTATTTACCCGGATTTGTAAATCAAGCTGCTTCTCGTTACTGTGCAATGCTTATATTCCAGCTGCTCGTGTTTCTTTATGTTCAATACTTGTATGAAATGCATGGTCTTGTTTGATGTATCCCTGAAATCGGCACATTCAGTGACCCCGTACGTAGATATACTAACTCCTTCAATATCTTTGTGCGAGCAATCATAGGCTATTAACGCATATACAATATTTACATATATACAAGATATTATTAGTGCATGTCTCAATCCTAAAACTCACTCACTCTTCAGTTAGTCAGCCGCTGCGGGTTTATACCATTTGTCTGGCGGTCAAAATAAATAAAATAATAATTGTATTAATCAATTTCTGAAAAGGAAATAAAAGAAAAAGAACAGTCCCCAAAGGTGTACTCATTTTAAATAATAATAAGATAAGGTAATTAAGACAAGTAAGTAGGATAAGAAATTATAAATATTAAATACACACAAAGCATTTGTCAGGCCCCGGCAGACCGCTGGCTGCGGCTTAACACTAACAAGCACGCACACTTGGTAGTAATCTGGCACCTTTTTAAGAGTGCTGCGACCAAATAACACTTACATTATATCTCACATCTCACACATTCTACAGTTAGGATAAAATCAGTCACATGGCAAAGAACCCATTCCTGAGACAGATTATGACAAAATAAAAAATATAAAAAATCGATACAGTTTAAGAAAGGCAGATTAAAGTTTTTGATACGTTACAGTACTTATTTAGCCTTTTATCATAGCCCCCCCTGGCCCCAAAACACTTCTTTATTTCAATATATTCTTATCTATCTGCAGACAACCATCTTGTTGAATGAAGAGAGCTTTTGATCCACGGCTATAATGCATGTCCACTTAGGAAAAGGTTGGTAAGGTTTTTGACCAAACCTAAATGTATAAATGTTTATTTTTAATTTGATTTAGCAATATAATATTTTCAAATAGATTAGATATTTGTTGGATTTTGTAGGAGAGGCTAGAGCAGATAGGCGATGAGTTGCACAGCGTAGAGGACCTGCTGACTGCAGGGTCGGCTCCCTACCAGGTGGAGGCTCTACAAGCTCGGCAAACACAGCTGCTACAGGAGCGCACGGAACTGATGAGATACAACTCCTCATTGTGAGTAGACAACGTACTTTGTGCGTGTATTTTTAGTTGAATATGATTGCAAAGTGAGTGTAGATGGAGTTAGATGATCTGTGTAGTTTTGTTTATGACTAAAATAAACTATTTTTTATCCAGGATCTTTTTTTTAAAGCGTATCTGTTATAAACAAATTCAATTAAATACCCCGCCGCAGCAAACCTGCAGACTAAGCAAATTTTCATTTGCCAGATTTGATTTACACTAAAATGTCTCCTTTAAAATATCACAATTATTCCCCCTTAATAATTTATTCCCTGTAAATAAAATCAACCATCACACCGTTTGAAGATGACAGTGATTTAAATTGAGTTTAAGTTTAAATAAATGAAGGTCCAGATATAAATCCAAAATTGTCTGAAGATTAAAATCTAAAATTATAAGGGACATGTTTTTTTTCTTATAGGCTAGTAGAAGATAATCTTGGATTATATGTGTTCAATTTTACAGACATATGTACAGGAGAACAAGCAGTTGTGGCCGAGTGTCTTCTTCTTTTGACTCTGAAAAACTTGATACAGATGATACAGATTCTCAACTTTCCTTTAGTAATGCTAGCTCTCCCTCTCAGGTAAGTGTTAAGAATTCCCCCATCAATTGATTGTAGAGTACATAGATTATTGAAACTTTTTTCCTGATTAACTGACAACTGGCTATGAATTTCAAATGTGGTTGACTTTTTTCACAAAGAAAGCTAATTATAGAAAACAATCCGTACTTGGTAGTAGTGTTGATTTCCCTTTCATCTTTTTCACCAACTATGACGACACTACTGAGGCATAGAGGTGGGAACTGGCTTGAATATCAGTAGATAAAGTAAACAACACAACATTGGTCTGCTCGCTTGGCTGCAACGGGAGATCTATGGAGACAACCATCCATAATTAAGTACTAACTAGTGGCTTGTAGGGACAAAAATCCCTAAAAAGCTCAAAATTACAAACTCAAACTTATTCAACCTTTTTGTAATATCTAAACAAACTAAGAAATACATTATCCATGTGTCAGAATAGATATCCCTGTACGCCATATCTTTTGTCTAAAAAACAGTTTGTTGTTTGTCTTTGTTTGCCTTTGTTGATGTTATTTTCAATCAAAATCATTTGAATCACTACATAGGTTTAACTCTGCTAAGGCTGTGGTTTCCTAGACGCGTAATAGATGCGCAGCGGTTTAGATGCGCTGCGTCTTTTATCAAGGTCCAAAAACGCAGCTGCCGTGAGTGGTTTCCTAGACTGCGTACAATACACACGGTTGGTGCGTAGGTCAAGGGAGAGATAACTAGTGGCTACTATGATGTTATATGATGATTTAGATAATTACATGGATATTTTGGTATTAAAAGCTTTTAAGAAGCGTAAGCAGTAAAAAGTACATGATTAGGAACTGTACGTGGCCCTCGTGGATCTTTTAACTGTACTGTTAAAGCAAACATGTCAATTTAAAATGTAAACAATAAATCTTAATTTACCCTATCCAACTTTGCTTTTACTGTTATTATATTTACCTATTCGGGATTTACCGAATCGATGAAAATACCTTTTACAAGTATAACTGCAATAAGCATTTTATACGTATACGCCAACCCCGTAAGAAGTTTGGGTACAATGATAGTAATTAATACAGTATAGGCTTATTACTAAGATGTTCAGGAGTTCTTAAAATAATTATGGGGGCTCTTATATTTGGGAGTTGGTGTTGTGCTGACTTGAAAAGAATATTTGTCAAGATTAGGTTTATTTACTAATAAAAACAATAAGAAAATATGTTAGGACAAATTAATTAATTGTAGGGAACATGTAACAAGGGAATTGAATATTAAAATTACACATTATGGGGAAATTAACACTACATAACGAATGATATGAAATATAATACTATAACATTTTAATTGTATGAACAAAGTACTTCCATAATATGTCATTAGAAGAGACAAATTCAATCAATTTTCCGTCGTTGTTGCAGAATTTTGCCTTCTGTACAACATTTACTTCCGAATCCATTGCACAAGACATGTCTAAAACGCAGCGTAACTCAGATTTGACTGCTCTGAAAGCAGTCGGTCAAATACGCAGCTATTGGTGCGCGCGTATTAGATGCGCGCGCACTAGATACGCAGCCTTGGAAACCACTTAAACGAAACTCCATAAGACAGGTGAGCTGCGTCTTAGATGCGCACACGCAGCGCATCTATTACGCGTCTAGGAAACCACAGCCTAAAGGCAGCAAACATATAATTGTTTGTGAATAAATAGTCTACTGGTTTATTAAGGTAGCTTTGGTCTTGTGCTTAATGGTGATAAAAAAAAAAACTTCCCTGATTGGAATTTTGGAAGTTGATTAAACACTATAATCCAGTAACCTAACGCATTTTACCTTGCATGAAATGGGGTAGTAGGTTTCTTTTTTTTATGTTGTTTGTAATAGTACCGAGTTGCTAAATCCAAATTTTCGACCTCGGCGACCTTCCGGATCACCTCCAAAAAGCTTAAAAATCGGCAGAATTACGCACTATTTTTATGTTTGTCCGATTTTGACCCTGAAGCATCACTTTTTCATCAAGAACAACCATAATCATTTTTAAAGTATATTAAATTACCTATCATATAAGACCAAAATGGTTATTACAGGCCTAATAGTTTTCAAGATATGACTCCGCAAACAACGGCTAAAATTACCAAATTTTGAATTTTTTTTAAGTTTGGCTAACGTTAACCCTAAAGCATAACGTTATCGTTATTTTTCATTAAAACAACCATAATTACTTTGAAACTGCATTAAATTACTCACAATTTAAGACCAAAACGGTAATTATAGGCCTAACACATTGAGAGATATGCCTCTTCAAGGTTCATAAAATCTTCCATAAATGTTTGTATTTTAAGATTCAAGTTGTTCAATTTGATCAAATTTTATAAAAGAACCATAATAAGAATATAAACAAATTTATTTCATTTCAACAACATATTATGCGTTTTTTATGGAAGAAATCTATTGTAATTAAAATGTTTATACAGTACTATCAAGAGGAATTGATATAAAGAATGAAGATGCAACAGTGAAAAAAGGTTTCAACTTTGCTGTCGTTCTGCCATGCAATATATTACTTCTTTTATGCCAGGATTTACTGGCATTCCTCAGGACCTCCTGTCCTGTCTGTGCTGTATGAATTGAGCAGTAGTGGGGGGAAGGACCAACTTGTTCAAACTACAGCACTGACACTAGAAGGACATGGGTATAGGTATCCTTACATGAACCTGATAAGGAACTCTTACACTGGATCTGCCTGCCTGCATGCCTATGAATTTTCACAATTTCTTGGTAAGGAATAAGATTAAACAACCTTTAGGTATGCTTTACCTTTAAGCATTAAATCAAGAGGACAAATTGTAACAAATTTCGAGAATTTAATTGAAATTAAGACCAATAATATGATTTTTTGGGTGAAAAAAGTTGTCTCAATTTGAAATTTCAAAGTCCTATAACTTTTGAACGCTTCAACCCATCACTATGGGATTAACTGCAGGATGTATATGATTCAAATATCTACAATATCTGACAAAAAAAACTATATGTCATCATGAGTCATATCATGGTTGTTTGTAGGTAATAGCACAGAAAACGTACTACTATAACCCAGAATGCCAACTGCATGGTAAAAAGCATTAAGCGGTTTGAGAGAGCTTTGCCTGTCAATCCGTAGGCAGCCAACAATAGCAATAGCATAGCAACGCTGGTGGCGCTGCCTACCGATTGACAGGCAAAGCTCTCTCAAAACACTTAATGCTTTTTACCATGCGGTTGGCATTCTGGGTTATAGTAGTACGTTTTCTGTGGTAATAGTGACCACAGGTGTCCATAGTCCCCTTGGCACTGTGGGTGGTCTTTAGCTCTTTCCTATGTTAAAACTTAATTCTTGCGTAAACCATAGGTTTTTATTGGTATTTTTTAGTTTCTTACCTTGCTCCAACTAGTACTCTTTTGATATATGAGGTTTTAAAAAGTCAATCGTGAATAATTTGAAAAATATTAACAAATAATGTATGGTTTGCACAACAAAACTCGCTTAAATTCTTGTAAATCTGACTTTGTTTTTGAATTATGAAGCAAACTATTGACTTTTTATAGTCTAAATTGGTTCTATACCATTAAGTATATAGTCCTTCAGTAATAAAGCATTTTCAAGCGTTAAAAAATATGAACTGCAAGGAAATAAACAAATAAAGTAAAATGTTAGCAAAAATAATTTGAGTATTTTGTTTACGTGATGTTTTGCACTCATTAAATATGATTTTTTGTTTAAGTTAGAATTGTATTCCATTTATACTCTTTGTGTAATTTATAATACCATTATCCTATTCAAAATTATTAAATTTACGCTTTTTTACCATTTTAAAGTTGAAATCAGAAAATCTGTTACGCAAAATCTGTTACGTAATGTTTTTCACCTATTAAATGAGCTTTATTTGTATACCTTTTAGTTGTATTCATTTTATACACTTTTTATGCAATTAAAAAAAAACCATAATTGTATTAAAAATTATAATATTTAAGCCAATTTTAAGCATTTCAAAGTTTAAGACACAAAATGTGTTAGGCCAAATTAATTAATTTACGTAATGTTTTTGACCCCTTAAATGGGGTTTATTTGGAAAAAATATGATTGTAATCCTTTTATACTTTCTTTATGCTATTACAGAAGCCATATCTGTATTCAAAATCATAGTATTTAAGCCATTATTAGGTATTTCTATGTTGTAAACAGTTTAATTTAAAATCAAAACTACGTAAAAATGAATACCGTTCGTCACAGGCCTGTCCGAGAACCAATTATTGTAACAATGTACGTGTGTGTTTATGTAGATAGATACAATAGATTTATTTCAATTTATAATAAATTAATTTTAAATTACTATTTTAAATTAATTTAAAAATAAATTGTTATAACACAATCTGTACCTACTTGAAATGAAATAAATTTGTTTATTTATTGTTATGGTTCATTTATAAAACTTGACCAAATTGAATAAATTGAAAGTTGAATCTTAAAATACAAACATTTATGGAAGATTTTATAAACCTTGAAGAGGCATATCTCTCAATGTGTTAGGCCTATAATCACCATTTTGGTCTTAAATTGTGAGTAATTTAATGCAGTTTCAAAGTAATTATGGTTGTTTTAATGAAAAATAACGATAAAGTTATGCTTAAGGGTTAACGTTAGCCAAACTTAAAAAAAATTCAAAATTTGGTAATTTTAGCCGTTGTTTGCGGAGTCATATCTTGAAAACTATTAGGCCTGTAATAACCATTATGGTCTTATATGATAGGTAATTTAATATACTTTAAAAATGATTATGGTTGTTCTTGATGAAAAAGTGATGCTTTAGGGTCAAAATCGGACAAACGTAAAAATAGTGCGTAATTCTGCCGATTTTTAAGCTTTTTGGAGGTGATCCGGAAGGTCGCCGAGGTCGAAAATTTGGATTTAGCAACTCGGTACTATTACAAACAACATAAAAAAAAGAAACCTACTACCCCATTTCATGCAAGGTAGACCCTGATTTTTATAACAAGGTTACTGGGTTACTACAATAAATCTCAAATTTAAATTAAAGAAAGTGTAGAATAAATCTAGAACATATGTTTTGAAATAAAAACAAAGCAGAAGTTTTCCAATCTTGAATCGTTAATTATTTTTCACCACACTATGATGTTTTTGGCTGTATTACATACGTTAATTGGTGGCTGAAAGTTACGTTTTGCTGGTCATGCCAGCTGTCATCGTAATTTGGGGACCGAGCAGGTTTTTACAGGCCGGGGCCGCAAAATCAGCTGTCCGCTTACTTACTTAAAACACGAATGCATTTTAAATATACAATCAAAATCCATAGCATTGCAATAGTGTTATTGTCTCTGTTGCCTAGCAACTATTTATTTTTATTTTTGCTGATTCCTCAAATTATTTCTTCACATAACCTTAAAGTTGTAGTTGTGTTGACTATCAGTGTGCATTATTATAGTGGTGAATAGTGGTAATAGGAAATAGTGTGGTGAAAAATAGCGTTCGAACCACGGACCGAAATGGTTTTGCAGCTCTCGATTGATTTAAGTTCTCGACTTCGTCTCGAACTTAAAAACTATCTCGAGCCGGCAAAACCTCATTTTCGGCCCTAGGTACGAAATATACTATATTCAATGTGGTTATTTCATGTTAAAAGTTAAAAAAACACAAATTACAGTACGTAAAATAATTTATTTCCACGTTCTATAACGTAACTAAAAAGTCTTTATTATTATAGGTAATGTCATCCCCGGTTTTATATAGTACATTGCAGAATTGACTGGCAAATAAGCAATCCAAATGTTAACATTGCGTACTGGCTTGATGATAAATCACGATCAGCAGTAACTGGCTTCTAATGCTATTCTTATGCAGAACATTTTACGTTATATCTCGTTTTCTGGACTCTTTATGGGAATTCTGATATTTTTCCCTGAGGTCAAGACCTTTAATTTAAGACCCCTCCCACTTTTTTGCGACTTACCATTACCACGTCCACAATTTTCAGGTAAAAATGTTGTCTTACAGAATTATATATAAGGTTTTTTACAAACTAAATGGATACAACTGGCTTCCAAAACTAAAGAAGAAAACTTGTCTGCAGATTTTTTCTCCAAATATTTTATAATTTTACATTGATCCAGTGTTCTTAAATAAATAGCTTTGCACCATAAAATGACCCGTAGCACATGAACAATCTAAAGTAAGGGTAGCCTATCATCAAAAAGAAACTTTGCAAGCTCCTTCACAGTTAATATTTCAAACAATCAAATAAAAAATTTAACATTATAATAGAACAATAACAAATTATCCAAGTATGAGTACAACATTCTTATCCAAATTGTGTTAAACAAATTTAAGATAGAAATCTGAGACTGAATTTGATAAGTCACTGTTGATGTTGTTCCAGGATGTTGGTGACTCCCGGGACTCACTAACGAGGGAGGCTGATCTGTTGAGTCCAAAACCAAAACAGGTAAAGCGGGAAGCCGAAGTGGTCATCCTCAACTAACACAAACCGCTTCGCTTATCCGCTTATTGTGCAGTCTGAATGTTTGCTTTTGGCTTTAAGAGTTTAATGTACACAAGAGTTGAATTTAGCACACAGGTGTAACAGTTTCTTTTTTTTAACTTACAACAATAATTTAATCCATAGACAATGGCTGTGATACAAAATACCATCCTGCTTCATATTTTTGCTCAACTTTTTTTAATATGCACGTTTTGTTGACATGTTTAATGTTGTGAATTTTTTGTATAAAAATTGCTTGTTGTTTGAATGTGGCAGCATAGCCTGCCTGTTGAATTTTTCAATTCCAGCATTTTATAACGTTTATTTTTTTTTTATCAATAAGCTAGTGAATCTAATTTGACCCCATTATTATTTGCCAAAAAATCTGAGAGCTCTATAGTATAATTTTTGATTATTAGTTCAATGATAATGCGTACAACTAATGTTATTTATATTTGAAAAATTATAAAAGCATTACCTAATTTCTTTCTACATATATTCTGTATTAGGTGATTAATAGATCATAGATTCTCTTCACTCTTTAAAGGAGTGTATAAGACAAAATTCTTCCTACAGGTAAGTACCATTGTAAAATATATACTTGGTGCTTGTTAAATCTATTTAAAAAATAGTATCAGTATTACCTGCAGGATATTTTAAACTTGTCTTAGCGTTTTATAATCCTACTAATATAGTGAGAAAGTTTGGATGGATGGATGGATGTTTGTGACAGGTAAAAGCGAAAAATACTGGTTGGATTGGGCTGAAATTTGGTGCGGTAATAGCTCACATTCCCGATTAACATACAGACGCATTCTTATCTCAAAAATCCTTCGGGCTCCGCCCCAGTGGCTCTGGAGTTTCCCATGTTAACCTTATGAGTATTCATATTTAAAAGGAATAAAAGCATTTTTTCAGCTGTTTTAACTACTCAAGTTGGTTCTATGATATAGCATTAAAAAGTTATAAAGGTTTACCAACAAGGTGAAGCACTATTATTTTTTTTTTCATTTATGACAACATCTAATTTGAACCAACTATCAACAAAAAGCTGTGAAAATGAGAATTTCACTTTTTGTTTAAGGGCAGTGGTAGAACATTATGGTTATGGTAGATGTGCTATACTATAGCATACCTTAAGTTAAATGAACACAATTTTTTTAAACCGTGTCCTATCCCAATGCAAACGCAAAGCACGAGTATAACTGCAAAAAGCATCTTACACTTATACGTTAACCCCGTACGAAGGACGGGTTGTCTGCTAGTGTCTATTACTGTAATTCAAATTTGTTTAGCTTCATTAGAATTTTCCTATAAAGGATAAGCTATTTTTGGTTTTTTTTTTAAGTATCGATAAGGGCTATATCATCCAGTACCAATGTGTTATTTTTGTATTAAGGTTTCTAAAAGTCAATAGAATTGTTGGTTAACACTTTGATTGCACAAGGCATGGATCCGACCCCACAAAACTAGCACCAGACAACCGAGGCGCGCCCCTACCCGACTCAGGTTTTATTGCTTCAGTGTGAGCTCAGTATTTACGGGTGAGGTTCATATCACTTGTAAGCTTAAGGCCGTTACGGCCATTTCATTGTGTGTTCACCGAGGCCTTAGAGGCAATACACATATTACGTAACGCACAATTTTCAACAATTAAACCCCCCCCCCCTCTTCAATGTAACGCTTGAGCAAACCCTCCCTCACCCCCCTTGCGTTACATAACTTGATTGTACAGTAGAACCTTGATAAGAAGACCCTCATGGGGATGATGAAATATGACTTATCAAGGTTGACTCCTTATATAGGTTTGCAATAACATGCATTTAAGGGCAATATCAAATCATGGGTATTTGAAAATGACACTTGTTATCAAGGGCTACTTGTTATTGAGAGTCTTCTTATAAAGGTTCCACTGTAGTAGACTTTAATAACAGCTTAAGTATAATTTTACTAGTGAAATATGAATTTAAATACATTAGACTTGTAATTACTTTTGTTTTAGTAATCTTTTTATAATAAAATCAAAATTGATACAAACAAAAAAGACGTGATACTAATAATGAAGAATAAAAGATACGTGGACGTATCTTATTAATATAACTAACTTATTTAGATATCATTTTGATTATTTTTGAATTTTTAAAGAGGAATATTCGTGTTACGTAATATTGAGCCAAACCCCTCTCCCCTGCTCCACATAACGCAGCGTAACGCTATACCATACCCCCTCCCCCCCATAAGTGCGTTACGTAATATGTGTATGGCCCCTTATCTGTAGAATATTACGGAATTGGTTGTTGTATCCAATTTACATGGACCTTATGTGTTGCCATGCTGGTGACGAAATAACAACACAATATAAACACAAAATCTAAACAAATGGAAGAAAGTCTGAACATTGCATATTTTTGGTTGAGTTTTCGACCACTCGACGACCTCTAGTTTATTATATAATTAGTTATTTTCAATGAGAAAAATAACCAAATAAAATATATAAGCTTTAAACTTTTTGTTGTATGGCATTAACATTTTGAAACAATCCTGCAGGTAATGTGTGTGTGTGTGTTTGCATTTCCCTGCATGGTGTAGAGGATTGTAGTATTTTGATGTGTGCAATTTACTCAAAGCATTGATGTTAGAGATAATAAAAATATTAAGGAATGACTAAAAGTTAATAGTGATATAAAGCATTTAATTTTTTTTTCAAAAAACAATCTGTTAGGCTATCAATGAAATTATAAGAATAAAAGCATGAGAAATGAACATATATACATTCTTTTCACTCTGTATTGAAAAACAGCTAATTTCAGTAAAATATCCTATTCACCAAAAGACTTATTTTTCATTGTTGATGTTAGCCTCCGGATTACGTTGAATATAAAAATTGGTGTAAATACCTGCTTCTTGTAATCCAAATTGTTGCTGTTATGACGCAACTAGTTTCGACTTATCACGAAGTCATCTTCGGAGTCTAGACGCTACATCCATCCGGCCGTGACGCATAATCCTCACCGGTGTTACCATTTTTAGCTTTTACTCGTTAAATCGTACTTTTTTCGTTTCAATGTTCGTGTCTGTGTTTTTGTTCGTAACCGTGACCATGTTCGTGTATGAACGTATGTGTGTATTGACGACCTTCTGATGAAGTGAATTGACATCCCCTGGACGCCCGAAGATGACTTCGTGATAAGTCAAAACTAGTTGCGTCATAACAGCAACAATTTGGATTACAAGAAGCAGGTATTTACACAGACTTATTTTTATTCTATTTAAACAAAATACATTGACGACTCATAAAATAGTGGTCACCACCTGTCTATAAAAATGTCACAGTGTTTTATTATTGTTTAAAGGTGTATTGCGGACATTTCCATCACAATGGTAAAAAAAAACAACGTTTTCGGGATCTGAAATCTGATCCCGTCCTCAGGTGAAAAAACTTAACTAACACATTACAACTAACAATAAACAACAACCAACCTAAGTTGGAATAGACTACAGAGAGTAGCAGTCAAGTACATGCTCTGTATAGCAGTCAAGTCATGATACAACATGCAAAATATAACCAATCACAAAACTCAAAAAATCTATGGGAAAAAGAAAAATAAGATGTAAAAAGCTCACAACAATGGAACACTAATCACACAGCTTGCAAGATCCCGCAACGTTGTGTTTTTTACCATTGTGATGGAAAATATGTCCGCAATAAAACTTTACAAACGATGAGATCAAACAAAGAATGTCACAGCGTATATTTTTATAGCTACTCTGTACATTCTAACATGTCCCATTTCTTTAATATTTTGTAAGAAAATTGTCAAAACTGTAATCTTGTTGTAGTTTATCTTGATGTAAAGAATATTTTACCATACAATTTAATTTACATGGTGTTTATAGTGCACTTGGTCACAAACAGTATTTAAAATCTAATAATTTATTTGTATTTTCTAAGGTTGGTTTAAATTTATTCTATTCCCAGGCAAGTGCCACAGTCAGTTCTCCCTCAGCGCTTTTTTTTAAATTTTATTTTATTATTTTTTTTATCATGCTTTTTAAATAAACAGTGAATATATGACAGACTGTTTCCTATCCAAACAAACTTCAGGCGCTTCTCCTCATCAGCAAAAAGTCATTGTTTAAGGGAAAACATACTATCTATGAGTCACTCATTATATCTCATAATATGATGTCTAATTACAGTAAAAGAGTGTAGAGTATAATTTTAACAATTTGAAAAGAAACTACTTTTTAACAATAATTTTCTTCACGAAGGAAACTATGATGGATTTTGATTTTAGTAGTTAGTTTAGTAACATCTCGCTATAGGTTTGTGTTTCATATCAACTGGAGTCACATGAGACGATGTATATTTATATATATAATATATTTACATATGTATAGTTATACTTTCCGAGAAGAAACTCCCTTTTATATAGAAGCAATAATAATATAAAGCCCATATTAAAAACACCATCCATAGTAGCAAAAACACATTAAAAATATATAGATAAAAGTTGCCCAATCAATCATTGTTTATACCAGAATAATTTAATCAAGCCCTTAGAACTCATTATAAAATTGGTTTTAAATTACAGAATGAGTCTGAAGATGAGTTTAAAATTGTCAACGAGATGATTGTAGTCCCTTCCAAAACGGATACAGAGGACTTTGAAGATCCTTACTTCAAAGAGAACAAAGTTCAGGTAGGTACCAGAGTGGTCTGTTGGATGGTTAACAATAGTATGATAATTGTTGTCACTCCCTGTAGAAAGTAGGCTAACTACTTTCGATAACAGTTCACGATTATGAAAATGAAAGTGATCATTTTCCAAGCTCTCAATTTTCAACTAGGGAAAAATCTGCTGATTTTCCTCTTCATTGATTTATTTTCTCTTACCCCCAATTCATTGTCTATCCTTTCACACACCCTATATGCACGCCAGGGTTTAATTTCAATGTGTATTTTGTAATTTAAATTCTACGTCTTTTGTTCACAATAATTTTACTGTGAAAATAACTATTATAAATATTTTAAAGTTGTTTGCAACATGATGAAAAGTATTATTCATCATACTATAATCATACTCATAATATTATAAATGTGAAAGTTTGCCGCTCAATCACACATTAACCATACTGGTCGGATTATGGGCTTAAATTTGGCTATGTCCACATCTTACCTTATGAAACTTGTTATAGATGTTGATAGTTTTGAGACAAACTGATAAGTTAAATTGATTATTTCTATTTCTATTTGATACACAGGTTTAATAGGTAGTTTTTAAGTACTAGGTGGCGTTCGCAGAGGCATCCACAAAATTGGGCGGAGTCATCAAGGGTTCATATTATATTGTTTTTGTCATACTGCAGTAAAAACAGTCGTTTTAATGCATGCATTGCGGGTCTAAAGTACCATTTTTACTTTTTAGGGAGTAAAAATCATTTTTAGCCTCTATGGAGTAAAAATCAGCTGTTGTCAACTTTGTTGTAAATTTCCATTGTAAACGATTGCATGTATCGAAAATGTGTATCGATTCGTGCTTTGTAATAATTTTAAACTACAGTCTACAGTCTCTTCCCATAGCATTTTAACATTGCAGATACATTAATCCATTTCCAAACTACTGCTCACTTTTACTACTTCCTTCACCACCCCCTACGTAGTGGACCTGTTTCCCTCTCTTCCCATAGCATTTTACGATTGCAGATACATTAATGTAATTGCCAAAGAAAGTTCCCACACTCTGCACTGCTCACCTTTACTACTTCCTTCACCACCCCCTACGTCGTGGACCTGATTCCCTCTCTTCCCATAGCATTTTAGGATTGCAGGATACATTAATGTAATTGCCAAAGACAGTTCCCACACTCTGCACTGCAAGCCTTACTACTTCCTTCACCCTTTCCTACGTCATAGACCTGTTTCCTTTCCTTCTCATAGCATTTAAGAATTAGATACATTTATCTAACTGCCCAAACGGTTCCCCCACTCTGCACTGCCAGCCTTTACTACTTCCTTCACCACTTCCTACGTCGTGGGGCCTGTTTCCTTCCCTTCTCATTAGGATTGAAGATACATTAATCTAACTGCCACAGACACACAATGCTCATAAGTAACTGGTGCTTGTTTCAAACCATACAAGGCTTTGTTCAATTTACAAACTTTATTAGGCTCTTCAAATCCTTCTGGTACTTCCATAAAAATTTCTTCTTGTATTTCACCATACAAAAATGCTGTTTTGATGTCAAATTTTAAAATATGATATTCCTTCAACACAGCAATTGCAAACATAATTCTAAGTGAATTACTACTTACTACTGGACTGAAAATTTCTTCATAGTTAAAATCACTTTTCTGCTCACATCCTCTTACAACCAAGCGAGCTTTAAAACGACCATCTTCTTTTTTAGAAAAAACCCATTTGTTTGTTAAAACTCTTTTTCCTTTAGCTTCTTCTTCATTTTTATAAGTCCAAGTGTTATTTTTCTCAAGTGATTTCTTCTCTTCTTCGATTGCTTTTAACCACTCCTTCTTCTCTGGACTACTTATAGCTTCTTTAAACGTCAACATTGCAAAATCTTGAAACTTACTGGGTATTCGCCTTTCTCTTCTAGGTCTTATTTCTTCTTCTGTTTCTTCGGTTTGATTTACTGGATTCATTTCATTTTCCTCTTCATGATTTTCTTCATAAAATTCTGCATTTGAACTATTACCATCGACTAAGTCATTTTCTAGACTAAAATCAATTTTTCCTCCAACATCTGATTTAGGCCTATTTCCTTTTTCGTCAAAAATGACATCTCTAGCTGTAATGATCCTCTGTTTGTCATAACTCCACATTCGATAACCATTTTCTGCATAGCCTATAAATTTCATGACTTCACTTCTCGGATCAAGTTTCTTGATTGGTCTCACAATTTTTACATGTCCCTCACATCCAAATTTCCGTAGTCGAGACACATTAGGTTTTTTCCCAAACCATTTTTCTGCTGGTGTTACGTCCACCGCTTCTGTAGGACTTCTATTCAACAAATAAGCTGATGTTCTCACTGCTTCTCCCCAAAACTTCTTGTCAGTCTCTGTGTCATACAACAATGCTCTGGCCTTTTCAATCAGTGTTCGATTTAATCTCTCCGCCTTCCCATTGTGTTCTGGCGTATACGCTTCTGTATAGCTTAACTGAATCCCTCGATTTTTACACCAATCTTGCATTTCTTTGCTTTTATATTCTCCACCGTTGTCACATCTTAATTTTGAAACCCGAAGATTTTGCTGAGCTTCGGCTTCTAATACATATTCTTTTATAAACTTAAATGCTTCATGTTTGTTCGACAACAACTTGACCACTACAAAATGAGTATAGTCATCCATCAAGGTCAAAGCATTTTTTTTTCCATCCCATGTACTCGGATCAATGGGACCACATAAATCTGTGTGTATGATTTGGAGGGGTCTTTCTGCACGTTTTCTTTCTTCACTGAATGGGAAACGGGTTTGTTTAGATTTTAAACATACATCGCAATTTTTTTCAATTTCTTCACAATCTTTTTCTGTTAGTTCCATACCGTCAACTAAATTTTCCTTTACCATTTTCTTCATGTAGTTTACATTTAGGTGTCCCAAACGAGAATGCCAATCCAACGCATTAGGCCTATCCTTATACCCCGTTAACATAGTTTTACTTGATTGTTCAATTAGGCTACTCTCAGGTTCTAAATTAATTGTATACAGACCACTCGCCTGCTTCACACCTTCACTTACTGTCTTTCCATTTTTCGATATTACTACCCTGTCCTTGGTAAATGTCACTTCTCCTTCATTATCAGTGACCGCCTTTACAGAAAATAAGTTGGTGCTTAAATCAGGAACAAACAAAACTTTATTCAAATCAAACTCTCTCCCTTCAACTTTACCTTCTCCTATTGCTGTCATTGTTTCATTATTTTTAGCAACATGTACATCTGACTGCTTAAATTCTAGTGAAGAAAACAATGTTTTGTCATTTGTCATATGAGTTGTACATCATGAGTCAACTACAAACTGAGTTACATGTTTCGACTTATTAAAATCTGAGTAGGTTAAGAACGACAATTTACTTTTGTCATTTGAAAATTTATTAGTTGATCTAAAATAACAGTCTTTGTCCTCATGGTTTGTTTTCTTGCATATTTTACAAAATAATCTTCTACCAGTACTCTGATTCTTACTTTTGTTAGGACATGAGTTTGCAAAGTGTCCTACTTTCTCACAAATAAAGCATTTGCGATTACCTACATTAAGACTATTTACATTTCCAGTGTTTGATCGCTGATTGAAATTTAAGTTTGCTCCAGGTCGGTAACTTGACTTAGGTTGCTGGTAGCTACTAGGCCTACTGGTACTAGGCCTATCATTATTACCACCTCTATTTAACCTTGGAAATTTTTCTGTTCCAGTTTTAAAAGCCAATGACATATCATGACCACTATCAGTTTTAAACCGTGATTCTTCAGCTAATAACCTAGTTGTTAGGTTAGTTAGCGATTTTTCATCTTTTGAAGTGGAGTCCCAAGCAGTTAAGAAATGCTTAAACTGCTCTGGTAATGATGAAAGGATCTTTGATATTAGCATATCATCATCAATATTTTGATTCAAGGATTTTAATTTAAAAGCCATGTTGTGTAGGTTAGACAAAAAATGGGTCATACTTTGGCCAACATCATATTTGTAATTAAAAAATTCTTGCAATAGAGAACATTTTTGTTGTTCGGTCTCTCTGTCAAACAAGCTACATAATTTACTGTACATTCCATGAGATGTTGTTTCATTTAAAATATGAACTAAATAGTGTTTGTCTACTGAGGTGACTTTATTTTCTGAGCTAGGGCATCTTTTCTTAACCATTCTTTTCTTTCCTTTTCGTCTGTAATTGTGTCATATTCATATTTACCTTCAACAATATCATAATTACCTTGGGCTTTGAATAGTGCTGTTGTCTGAAATTTCCAATATTTGTACGACTCAGAGTCACTCAACTTTTCCACATTGTCGTAATTTCCACTTGCTGCCATGTTTCTGATTTTACCGGTACGTTTTTACTTTTCTGCTTCTGCAGGCGTACCTGGGCCCATGACCTGTGAATTTTTAGTCTGTGCTGGGCTTTTTAATAACACAATACATTTCCCAAATATCTTATTTATTGAAAACACTTTTTTAATGTTACAATTTACACAGCAAAAACAACTACTCAACCTCTCATTACCACGGCCATTTTTCTTCTCTTTTTCTATAGGCCTACAACTCAAAGACCTTCTTGATATAAAAAAAACTTCTTTCTTTTTTTTCTAAACTCAAAGGCAACAAAAGAGTTGATAATACAAACAAAATATATATATATAATAATTTTAAATTAATAATGTTAAAATTATTTATCTCAACACAAACAACCCGCCCATTCCGGCGGCGCATCGTCAAAAACTACAAAATATCCTTTTCTTTTCCTTGAGTGTTTTAATTCAATATTAGCCTAGTGTATATTGTTTTGCAGTAAAGACTCTACGTTTTTGAATAGTCGTAATCCATGGTGGAAGGAAAAAACAGGTGTGATACTCCCGTCATAGGCTGATGTCACCCAAATTGCAAACAGAAAATTACCTGATTGTATCTGTCATATAAGTATACATTTGTTTTGATTTGATTGTTATTGTTTTTATATGATTTTTTCTAAATAGTGAAATGGCGTTTGCAATCTAGGTGACGTAAGCATGGCGGGAATACCCCGCCTAGGTTTTTTCCTTCCACCATGGTCGTAATCATCACTTGTTTAGTAATACACCCCAAGAGTACTTTATAATGAACTAGCTGGCCCGACAGACGTCGTCCTGTCCTATCGCTCAATCACGTCCTGGTTGAAGTTTGTTTGTTATGCTTACTACCATTTGACCGCTTACTCGTTCGCTTCGCTAACTCACCTTTTGGTTGCAAATTAGCTGTTGTCATAAATTTAAAAACAATAGTGCTGCACCCTGTTGGTAAACCTATTAACTTTTTAATGCTATTGAACATCCCAGAATCAAATTTTCTAGTTGAACCAGCTGTTAACATTCTTTAATTCCATTTAAATAAGAGTACTCATAAGGTTAACATGGGAAACTCCAGAGCCACTGGGGCGGAACCATTTTGACGGATCTACACCAAACTTCACACAAACCATCCTTAATGCTTAATAATGCATGAAAGTTTTATTAAAGTCTGTTGAGCGGTTTTGGAGTCCATAACGTTCAAATATATATACATACAAACTTCCTCTTTTATAAATATAGATGCTAAAAATAGCACTGTATTTGTAGGAGTCCTTTTATTTTGTACTGTATTTAATCATTTGCTTCTGTACTGTAGATGATTTGTTTAAATCATATGTTACAATTCATTTACTGTATTTACATTTTCTTAAAACTAAACTCAAAACTGCTATAGCTACTTAAAAATCCAAGATTGATGTTACAAATATTAAAATTTCATTTTAAGTTTTTAATGGAAAACAAATTTTCTTAGAACAGAGCCTATGGCATTTTTAGCCTAAAATTAAGATATTCTAACAATTTGTAGGAAATCATAGGAGTTGTTTTTGAAGTCATTGTGCTAAGATTTATTCTATATGTAAGTAACAATTTTCAATCTGCTGTTTTAATTTAAACAAACTGTCAAAACAATGTTTATGCAAGTATAGGCTATTATAAACCAGTGATTTATCATCGACTGTAAAATGTTTTTGATTGCCAGGTTAAAATTTGCATCATAGTAGACCGAGCCCAGGTACTGTTGTCAGAAACAAACAAGTGTTGCAGCATATACTACCTATAGTTGGTAGGTATTTATTAACTAAATGATGTGTTGGAGCAGGTGATTGCGTCCAGCGGAGGAAACATCATTGCTGTTGCCAACCCTGCACTCTCCATGTCCCCAGCCATCGTAGACCCTGTGCTTCTCAAGAAAGAAGCTGTTTCACCAAAGCTTTCATCATAACTCACTGATTTTTACAGTAAAACCCATTGTGATCTAAATTTATAAGATAAACTTTGTTAAATGTATTGTAAAGTTAAATAAATTGTTATTTTATGTTGACTGTAATTTATATGAGCATCTTTAAAAACCCTGGTACCCTAGTAGGGACCTTTTGCTTTTTAAAATCTAAACATATGAAAGTCAAAGTCCTCACTGACTGATTCATCATCTTCAACTTAAAGTTTAGCAAAGAAGCATTGACTATATAAAGAATAGACTTCCTGTGTGATATAAAAATTTGAAGCCAAGAAAATAGATAAAGTTCAGGACCATCTCACCAGAGTTTACTATAGTGTACTAGTGTACCTGTTGCTCGAATTCGAGCAATTGCGAAGTATTACAGGAGTTATTTTAAAACGAATAACAGTTAAAATTGTTGAAATTTAGTTACTAAATAATAGGCCTATTAAATTTCAACCGAGTTAGTAAAATGTTTGTAGCACACACTTCCTTAAATTGCAACTAAAATATTAACAGCAATTAAATTATCCAGCTGATCATAATGTAAATAAACGGTATCAGCATTCTGACAAATACTTTCTCCCATAAGTTTGTCAAAAACCTTTATCATGTGTAAGCGGTGAGAGTAAATATACGGAAATGGGATTTGTACAATTTTGTTAAGAATTTAAGGACTATAACATACTAAATTTTTATCAATATTGTTCGGGCCATTTTTGGGAAAATCCGATTTTGCGTTATTTTATGGGGTTTTTATGGGGAAAATAACATAATTTATAATAACTTTTGAACCGTAATTTTTACAGGAATGGGATTTGTACCATTTTGTTCAGAATATAAAGGACTATAACATACTAAATTTTTATCAAAATCGTTCGGGCCATTTTTGGAAAAATCCTATTTTTCCGTTATTTTATGGGGTTTTATGGAAAAATCCCCATTAAAAATCAAAATTTGTAAAAAATGAAAAAAACTATCAAAATTGTAAGGACCATAACATACTATGTTAAATCAAAACCGGATTTTTTTATAAAATCCTTTTTTTCGTCGTTTTATGGGTTTTTTTATGGGAAAATAACATAATTTACAATAACTTTTGAACCGTAATTTTTACAGAAATGGGATTTGACCCATTTTATTCAGAATTTAAAGGGCTACAACATACTAAATTTTTATCAAAATCGTTCAGGCCATTTTTGAGAAAATCCTAAGGTCATGGGGTAACTGCACTAAGTAAGCAAAGCACTTTTAAATATTCACTTTATCATACCAAACTGTAACCAAAACTACATTATCCTATACTCTAATACGAGCAATGTTTGTATGTATGTATGTTTGCACAAAGATCTCGAAACCGGCTCCGACGATTTTCATAAAATGTTGTAAGTAGTTTATTTCTGGCCTAAAAACTAGTTTACTGCAGTTAGAACTGCCAACAAAAATCTAAATTACGCAGAAAAATTAAACTGAAAGTCATATTTTTTTAACATTAGTCTTATGGGTTGCTAAGTAACCATCTTGGCTGAATTAAATAACAAGGAAAAAGTAAACAAAGACTTGTCTATCCACAGTATACTAGGAAATGAAAAATACAGTACAAAAGGAAAACATCAGTTGTTACTATTGAGCAAAGATTATACTGAAGATTACTTGATACATTGTAGTCAAGGGTAGCAGTGTGGAGTGTGGGATCTGTTTATAACGATTAGAAAACGGTATCTGCAATCTCCTGTGGGACTGTGGGAACTGTTTGTGACGATTAGATTAAGGTATCTGCAATCCTAAAATGCTATGGGAAGGGAGGAAAACAGGTCCGCAACGTAGGAAGTAGTGAAGGAAGTTGTCAAGGCGAGCTGTCGGGAGTGTGAAAACTGTTTATGACCATTAGAATAAGGTGTGTGACAGTCTCATTGGTGGAGTCATTGCGAACGGTGCTATTAGTGTTCCATTGTGTGAGCTTTTTACGTTACACCTTTTATAGATTAAAGTGTTTTGTGATTGGTTATTTTTTGCATTTTGTATCATGACGTGACTGCTATACAGTGCATATTTTTTTAACTGCTACCCTCTGTAGTGTATTCCAACTTAGGTTGGGTGTTTGTGTATTGTTAGTTGTAATGTGTTAGTTAAGTTTTTTCACCTGCGGACGGGATCAGATTCCAGATCCCGAAACGTTGTGTATTGTTTTTTACAATCGTGATGGAAAATGTCGGCAATAAACCTTTGAACAACATAGATTTGGTATCTACAATCCTAAAATGCCATGGGAAGGGAGGAAAACAGGTCGGCATTGTAGGAAGTGGTGAAGGAAGTAGTCAAGGCGAGCTGTCCGGAGTGTGGGAACTGTTTATAGCAATTAGATTAAGGTATCTGCAATCCTAATATGCTATGGAAAGGGAAGGAAAAAGGTCCGTGACATAGGAAGTTGTGAAGGAAGTAGTAAAGGTGAGTTGTTCGGAGTGTGGTATCTGTTTATGACCAATAGATTAAGGTATTTGCAATCAAATAATGCTAAGGGAAGGGAGGTAAAAAGGTCCGTGGCGTAGGAAGTGATGAAGGAAGTAGTAAAGGTGAGCAGTCCGGAGTGTAGGAACCGTTTATGATGATTATATTAAGGTATCTGCAATCCTAAAATGCTACGGGATGGGAGGGAAACAGGTCCGCGACTTAGGAAGGGGTGAAGGAAGTAGAAGAGGCAAGCAGTGTGGAGTGTGGGAATTGGAAACAGTTTGTAGCAGTTAGAATGTATCTGCAATACTGAAATGCTATGAGAAGGGATGGAAACATGTCCACGACACACGAAATGGTAAGAGAAGTAGTAAAGGCTAGCAGTACCGATTGTGGGGAATGGATTTATGTATCTGCAATACTAAGACTGCTTTTAGAGTAAACTAATGATTTTCCCCGAGCAAAGCTCGGTCCCCAGGTACTAATTCAGGAAAATTTGATGTAAGGTAAATCAATTCAACTATTACAAACAATTGGTTGTCAAGTCTGACTAGGAAATACTTTAATTTATGAACCGAAGTAAACAGATGTAAATAATAAAAATATAAATTCTGGCTTTGCTTTAGAAGTAATAAGTTCTGCAGTCTGCGGTTAACCTTATGAACTATATCAAACCATGCCTATATGTGTGGTTGTAAACAAAGTGGATTGAGTTTAATCATTGACTATTATAGTCAATCAATGTTTTAATTCTATGTCGATGGATAGTGCCAATATTTCAGAAGCTGCTACTCTACTGACTTTGTTTGTTAACCCATATCTTATTTTACCTCACAATTAACCAATACCACAGAAAAGATACTACTAAAGACATTTGTTGTAAGATAAACGCTTACAACGTAATAAGACGCTTGAAATCCATACAAAGATCAAATAAAAATGCAATGGGCTATTTTAGCCTGTGATAAAAGTACGTTAATATATTAAATTAACCAGCTTTTAGTGTTCGAGTTAATTATAACCAAAGATTAAACTAACCTAATAAATTAATACTTTCCCATCCTTCAGTCATATTTGAGTTAAAATACGCACATAGTGGCGTCCCCATCTTATGATTGTTTGACTTTAATACTTTACTTTGAAATGGCGACCATACCAATGTAGGTACTGTATTTTAAGCCAAGGATTAATGGACATGGAGTGTAGTATGAGTACCGTAGCCCAACCTTTTAGTTTTGAAAGGGACTAAGTCCGACATTTGTAGACACAGATGTTAATTAATAGCCTAGCCATGACAGCAAAAGGCACCTAAGGGGGTTAATCATTTTGAGTATTATAGCTCAGTGGGGTTAATAGGGGAATTCGAACCACATTTTTGCCTTGTAATTAGCGACTTAGTCTAATTATCAGGGTAATAAAAATTGATAACATGTGTGATAAATAAAATGTAAAATTTTTAACCTCCTTGATATAAACATTCTGATAGACGGATGGAAAATAAGGTTTTTTTATTTGATTTCAAAACTATTTACAAACACTAATATTGATATAATGATGTAGTGATGTAACACTTTCATCAAACCACGACTGAAATACTTAACACACCTTTATGGACATGACATATAACCCATAATTTAATGTTTCAATTTTTAATTTAATATTTTTTTCATAATTTATTTACCACTCTTTTTATGATTAATCTGTTTGATCATTGTATCGGTGGTCCAAAAATAACTCTGGGGGGAGGGAGAGGGCATTTGATTGTGTTGTATCGGTGGTCTAAAAATAACTCATGAGAGGGGGGCCCAAAAAATAAGTTTGCAGGGGGAGGGGGGCCCGTAAAAGTTTGTTACGCCACTGGCTTGTACGATCTGACGATCATATATAATTTACCGAAGGTTAGCGTAATTAATTAATCACATTGCTACGATTTACGTTTGACATTCGCATTACCGTTTCCAAATTCGATTTTCAATAAATAAATTTAATAACTTAAATTTCGCCGACTTGATTCTAGACCCGCCAGTTCCTGCCTGCCACTGCCAGTGACTAGCGGTGATTATAGTTTGGTTTGATTTAAATCAATTAGTTTCAAAATTACGATTTCTACGAATGTTTATTACGTACGTTTATTCTAATTAATTCACCGTTTTAATGCCCCGAGACTTGTCGTCTGAGTTCTAAACTCCGTCTTTGGCGGGCGAGAGAACCTAGTCTTGGGAGTAGGCTGATTTGAACAATCACCCACGAATATTAGTATTAAATTTATTTTAAACGTATCACGATAAATTCTCCGTCCAATTATCTTCATTAGGCCCCGACGACTCTGTAGGAATTGCTCTTTTACATTATATTCGATTTTATATTATTTACCAACGTCTTTAGCCAGATAGTTGAAGCTTAATACGAGTATTTATATCAAATTGGCTTATCATTGGATACTCGTCGGCCCTACAGAGTCATTCTAAAAGTTAGGCAAAATTCTCCAAAACACTTTTACGAAGGCTGGGATAGCTCCAACTGGGCGTCTGCAGGATTTCCTGAGCGCTTCTAGTGTAGCTCGAGCTCTCGTTGTTCATCAAGGCATCCAGTGGGAGATGTTGGATTAATAACGAGTTAGAAAAGATTAGAGAAAAACGATGATGGTTTA